AGCTCAGTCAAACAGGCAACACAAAACCAGACCTCCGTATCCTCCATAAGACGTCATGAGGTATAGTCCAGATGCTTCAAAATAAAAGATCAACGAAACAACATATAATTATAATTATGGTATATGAGAGACATTTGGATGACATCTGGATGACATCTGGATGACATTTGGATGACATTTGGATGACATCTGGATGACATTTGGATGACATTTGGATGACATTTGACTCGATTCTCCATTCTTTTGGTGCCATGAGATGCGCATTCTGAACGCCAGGACATCCCGTCTGTCATCCCCTCAACCGAGTGCCCCAGCACAATGGCAATGCCCAAAAACAGGATTCCGAGCCTAGGCTCGGCTCTGTGAAAATCGGGCAACGGGCCCAATATGGCCCAATCCCAGGGGTTTGATCCATCTCCCGACTCCCGACTTGCCATAGAAAGGGCGAATATATTCTCAATATGTTGATATAGTGTGCCTGAATATTTAAGGAGATGATAGGAGATGTATTTTTTTGAATATGATGAAGATGTCAGAGAATATCGTCCCAATATCATCACATGCATTGGAATCTTGGAACTAAGTATCCAAGTGTCCAAGGGATATACGAATCATATGTGGGGGAACACATTGGGGGATGGGGAATGGGGTTTGGGGATGGGGATGGGTCATGGGGTTGGGGATACCCTCTGGTAAACCAACAATTTACTCAGGAAAATCACCATGTTTAAATACACTGTACTGATCTGTACTGTATGTTTAAGATGTAAAACACCGAACTAACTACGATCCTTGTTAAGCTATCAGAGTGATCCAGAGGGGATACATTTTGAGGAACTTCCCATTGGGAAGAACCACATGCGCCACATGTTATCACAGCTGATCGTATTGTTGTCGGAATTCCGCACAATGCACTAAGCATCAAGGGTTTGCTTGCAGTCTTTTTGACTGCGGATTGTGCCTCAGGTTGCCCTTGTGTTTCATGTGGCTGGCATCCTAGCGTTGGGTGTCCTGATTTTTCTGATCTACCGATCTACCATGATCTACCCATTTGGAATCCTCAGCTCATCGTTCCAATCCCTATGAACCCCATCAGGGTAAGAATAAGAATGAATAAGCATATATGAATCATTTCATTACTACATATTACTAATAATATTACTAAATTGGATTGTGTGGTTATAGTTATACCATGTTATACCATGCTATACCATTTATATAATCATAGTAACAAGGATGCAGTACCCTCTGGTAATTTAACATCGCTATTGAAAATCACCATTTTTCATGGGAAAATCCACTATAAATGGCCATTTTCAATAGCTATGTTAGTTTACCAGAGGGTAACAGTATTGTAAAAATCTTCAGCTTAGACCGTGGTTTTCTGAGTTTCCCCGACGCCTCGCCGGTGCTCATAATGCCACCACTGTAAGGGCCTGAGGGCTTCTTACGCAATGAATAAAGATATTGGTATGACCTACCCTCTGGTAATTTAACGTAACTATGGAAAATGACCATATATAGTGGATTTTCCCATTAAAAATGGTGATTTTCCATAGCTATGTTAAATTACCAGAGGGTACAGAACTTGGAGGAGTTTCATAGATTTTCAGATTATCCGTGGTTATCACTGGTTGATAAAAAAAGCGCTTGAATATTAAAATACGGATTTTTATTCATGGTAGAAAGTTTGCCTAATTGCAAAATGACAACGAAATCTCGTTGCTTGCTAGTGTACAGTCCATGGTAGAGTGGTTGACATGGATGCAACTACTGCACGACCTAACCAAGATGGACATCTCTGTTCGATTCTAGGCCCTGTCAGAACTCCTCCTCCTTATGCACTGATTTGCCGTCTTTGTGAAGATGTCAGGAGCTTCTGGAAACACCGCAAAATGCGCAATCAAGTGTGAAATCCAGAAAACCTGCACCCTGCCCAAATGGAATCCATCCCGCAAAGAAACAGAACACCCAACTTCAATCCCAATGGTGGGGGTATCACTGAGCTCCAAAACCCTTCATGACGTAAGCCCTGAGGTTTCGCACAAAAGACGCGGAAGACGGAATCTGCGCATTGACGGACTGGCAGTGGCCTGGAGTTATTTTTTGTTCCAGTAAACTCCATCAGAAAGCATCCCAATATCACCAGAAATGGTTGAGTATTAACATCATTAACCATCAAGGATTGCGGCTTGATTTTCTGTGGCTCTCATCGACATCCGAGGAATTCCGAGGACCATGGGTTCCATAAGCGGTTGGGATTCCATGCCACCATTGGTTTCTCGCGAAAAAATTAAATGATCAATAACTTATGGTTAATTTTCCCATGATTTCCCATGATGGATTGTGATTCTATATATAATACATATCGAGTGTATATATATAAATATACGTAATTATACGTATATATATACATATAGGATACTGTAACCCCATATAATCAACCATTTTTTTGGGGCGTCCACCATTCTTGGCTCCTGGCATTCCAAAGTTAGACTGGGATCCCGTCTCTGGCATCGCTGCTCGATCCACCAACTTGAAGAAAGGACCTGGGGGCGGACCGACTTCACAGGGCGGACCGTTCAAAGATATTCGGCCACGCGGACGCTTCAAGATATGTTTCAAACAAGCATCTTCGAATGTCAGGTGCTTTTTGTGTGTTCATGGACTAACAAGTCATCATGAGTCATCTAATCTGGAGAATGTCATTGCACCAAACTGTTGAGGACAGGTGTCTGTTGGTCACAAGTGTGGTAGCCAGGTGAACATCCCACGAATGAACAGGATAGGCTGTTCTGGGATATTCATCATTCATCTCCCATCATCTGTCCATTCCGTGGGATCTTCGATGTTGACCGAAGCTGGCGATTTTATCAGGAGATGAGAACACTGGGAATCCAAGCTCTGATACAGCTGAGAGCTTGTGTCGGCTTGCAGAGCTTTCCTGAGTTGTGGCAATCTACACCATGGCCATGAGAGTCACATCTCTGATTCTTGATACTTACATCATTTACATCCATACCCACACACCATATGGATTCATATGGCCCATATGACATATGATAGAAATTGGATGAAATTAGTGCAGTACGTCAAGAAGTCACATCAAGAGTATCAAATATATGAAATGCATTTAAACCAAGCCTTGCTTCGTGTAGCCCCTGAGATGCTGACAACAAGGAGATGAGACCCCACGGCGAACGCTCATCCGTGGACTTGATGTCCTTTCGGGGGAGGCATCACTGGTGGAGACATGAACTCTATAAATCCTCAAAATATCTGATAAATTCTGATATGTGCGGAAAACGAATTAAACTCATGGGCAATGATGGGTTTCATAATATGATATGGTTTCATCATCCAATAGTTGTTGGAGATGAAATGATGGAACCTGAGAAAATGGTTTGATGATGTTTGGTGCAACGACTAGGTCATTTTTGGGGAGTTCTGGAGTGGGGGTACCACAGAAATCACCAGTTCTTGAAACCCTAAGTGTGTGGAACTTCTGGATCTGAATCTAAACCCAGGGACCAGACCCATTCAAAGCTAGATCTCTGTACTATTCTGTACTCAGCTAGCACAAACACCAAGCGTCAGCCAGTCAGCTGAGTTGCGCACATTCCAAGTACCAACCACTTTGAAGACCGTGTTCACCACGACTGATCCGTTGAAGGACAGGGAAGCGACCTGAATCCTCGTGGGATCTGCATTCAGGATCTTGCCCATCTCGTACACGTAGCCTGGAGCATGACCAGGTGCACTGATGGTAGGATAAGTTTCATCTTTTTCCCCACCAGGTGAGGGTCTCTAGATTTTAACAAAGGTGCAACTCCTTCACGGCCATCAACGGCTCCGAGCCATAGAGCCAGAGCTTCGGATCCCTGGAGCAGCTTCCTGGACCCGAACACAATGCCAGACAGAATGTCAGAATATATGTCAGAATGCGAGAAAGAATGTCGGAATAGATGCCAGATAGAATGCCTGAATAGATTCCAGGAAGAATCTCAAAATAGATGCCAGATTGAATGTCAGAGAATGCCAGAATGTCAGCAGATGTGCCAGAAAGTATGTCAGACAGAATGGCAGACTATATGGCCAAATAGAATGTCAGAATATGCCAATATATGCCATGTATACTTCCAGATGGTATGTCAGAAACTATGTCAGAATAGTGTGCCAGGGTGGGGATCACAGGATCACCCTCAGAAAGTATGAATTGTTCATGTGGATGCCCATTGTGCAGGCCACATTGGTGGACCATCCATTCCACCAATAACAGCAGCCCAAAGCGCTGCCCAATACCATCCATTCTCAGCAATATCCAAGTCATCCAAGCTGCAAACGTTTGCAGGGCACCAGAGTTTCTGCCAGAAACTGCCAGAAACATCTGGCACTTTCCGAACTCCTGGGCCCCCGTGCGGTAGATGAAGTACCGCTGTTCCGCATCATCGGAGGTTCTTTCTGCAATGGATGTGCCACCTGAGCTACACAGTACACTCGTCCAAGTCGAAGGATTCGAAGGTCAGTTTCATTGGTTTCATTGAAGTCAAGAAGTTTCAGCATGACATCTCATGATTCATGATTACAAAAGCATACAAAACGCATCAAAACGCTAAGGATGTAGAAAAGCAACATGTTGGTTGGAAGTCACAGCAGGAATCAAACGTCAGTGGCACTTCCGCAGCTCTGCAGATATCTCACCATTTCCCATCGGATTTTTTTTCATCAATAGCGTGAAGCTTGGCGTGAAGCTTGGCTTGTCACGCCCACAGTTGGGGGATCACCTGAATCAGGTCCATGTGCTATGATGTGCTATGAGAATGTCTCTGTTGCCCCCATCTTGAGTCAGACGACAGGCTTTCCTGAGGAAAGCATGTTTAAAACACTGCGAACTGGGCCTTGCAGCAGCTTTGGCAAGGCCAAACGAAAGCGTTTCAATATCTCACTAATAAACATCAGCGGAAAGCCGTTGCTTGGGTAAGTCAACTTGCCCGTTTCAATACCAGGGTGCTCCCCTTGGAATGAAGTGGATGGGTCAAAAGTGCATTCCGCAAAAAAGACGAATGGTTTTTATACCATATTCCAATGTTATAATTCCCCAACGCCCAGGGCGCGTTTTGACCCATGCCACTCCATCAGATATCAAACGTCTGCAAAATGTCTGTCAATTTGTCATGACACAGCCACAGCTGCAAAGCAAACACCTTGAAGTTCCACAGGCAGCTCAAAGCTGTCCCAAGCCAGGGTCTCTGTATCCCATCGATCCACATGGGCCAACTCTGCTTCATAGCCGCCAAAGACGAAGACCTTTGAGGGATGGGTTACGTTTGAAATGCTGCCTACAGATCGATGTTGCTAACTGTCCAACTGTTTGATGTTGTTGTACGATTCGACGCAATATTTTCTGAGACTTGTCACCGAGCATGAGGCACCTGTGGCTATGTAATCCATTCACCCTAATATTAATCATCCCTCGCAAACTTTGGTTTAGTAGGGGATTTACACTTCCTAAAGGGACCGTATGATGGGGGTGTATGGGGCTGTTGAAAAAATGAACAGAGATGGGATTATTATCCATCATTAGGGTTCAATATTACCCTCTGGTTATTTAACATAGCCATGGTATAGATGGCCCATAGAAATAGATGGTTTACCTATTAAAAATGATGATTTTCCATGGCTATGTTAGTCATAACCAGAGGGTAATTAATTGGGGCTTTTTGGGATGGCTATCAACATCCCCGCCTTGCCGGGCACAGCCGCCACCGCACAGCCATGGCGGCTGAGGCTGGCAGGAGAAGGCAAAGAAGCCCAGAAGCCCCAGCGATGGCTCAAGCATTCCGGCTCCTGGGCTATGGCGGCAGGCAGCTATTGGCTCCTTCTGGGCCAAAAAAAATCTCAAGATGCGCAGGCAGAAAACCTAGCTAGCTGCACCGTGCGCGGCGAGATTTCTTCTAAAAAACATCAGTGAACATAACCATCATTAACCATCATTAATTAACCATCATTAACCATCAGGGTAATTTAAATTATTTACCAGAAGGTATCAGTGAACCAGTTTTTTTTTACCTTGATATTGAGAGAATTCACTAGCACATCCAGGCCAGTGAAGAGCCAAACAATCCGGGCATGATTTTATCATCATCCCCATGGTCAAGTCATTGGCGGCCAAAAAATGTGGACACCCGTGGTGTGTCACTCCAAGAGGCGCCTCATGGAAAATAAACTCGAGAACTCTGACTGTCATTGCAAGTTACATTTGAAATGTGTTTTTTGTGGCGGCCCATATTCAGAATGTTTCTTTTAGCCCATCAATCATGATTCATGGCAACTTAACATTAAATAACATTAACATACATTAACACATGTCAAGATTAGACCAGTCATCATGCCATAGAAAACCATAGACAACCATAAAACCCCATCTTAAGCCCTAGAAAATCATCTCTTAAAACCATCAGTCATCAAACAATTTCACCTGTATCAAGGTGCTGGTGGAGACACAGCATCTGCCAACAAATGACCCCTGAGCTCAACGGACGGGAGGTGTTCTATCGGTGGGGATACCCTAATAGCTGGTTTATAATGGGACATCCGATGAAAATTGATGAGAACTGGGGGTACCCCCATTTAGTTGATACTGTGGTTGTAAGGTTGATACTGTGGTTCTTCGGAAATCCTGCACCAGTAGATACAGTAGGTGGTATTCATAGGGTTTCAACCATCCAAGGTGGTGCAAGATTTCTCCCATCCACAATACATAATTAATTATATGTTATTTCCAATCAATAGGGATGATATATAGAATCTTATGGATGTATATCCAATCATATTATATAATTCATATCAATATAGGTACAGTATTATATTGTGAAATATTGTGAATGATATACTGGTCATAATATCACATATTATCAATATAATATATAAAAGCAGTGATTCTTCCAATAGCGGTGAAGTCCCTGTTGCTTGTTGAAAAAAATATTTTGAACCACCAACCAGTGACCGAACATCTTCTGATATATTCTGATATATTGATATTTAAAAAATGTTTCGCAAAAAAGGAACGCTGGCTCAGTTGTCTCTTCCGTGGATGGAGATCAATCGTGCAAGTGCTTTACATCTCCACTACATAATACTAGACTATATACTTAGTACATCTTTTTGCAAGCATCCTACCAAACAACTCCCCGAAACCATCCAACAACATGCAGAAACATCCCATAAAAACATCTACAAAGTCTTTCACAAGTTCATTTGCTGTACGCTTAAAAACGAAAAACACATCCCATCATCCTCCCTCAAAAAAAAAAAACATGGGTCATTAAATGTCCCCATTGAACATCACCCAACCAAAATCGGTATATGGTCTACTAAATGGCTACTTTTTCAGGTGATGTCCAATATACCCAAAATGGGACAGTTACCAACCCCTGAAAAACATCTCCCCAAAAAAAAATCAAAGAAATCCGAATCCCAACAGTATTTTATCGCGGCGCCTGGAGACTGCAGAGCCACCAAAGAGCACCACGCTCTCGGAGGTGCTGGCGGCTGTGCCACTGTGGCGCGGGCCCAGCAAGGAGGGCCCACGGCCTTGGAGAGTTTGATGGGCCATGGGATTACTAGTTGATTAGTTCATTAAAATTCATTAAATATTACTGAACATTACTAGACATTACTGGTGCAACTAATGATATTACTTTAGATGTTCACATTAGCTAACGAGTAATTAACTAGTTAGTAACTTGTAGTAATTGGCTGAAAATCCATGATTTAGCCACTTGGATACAAGCCAGTAAGTGTGATCCTCCGTCCAGTAACAGCCACCAGAATTTGAACCAATTAACTAATCCCATGTCCCATCTAAGTATAGGAATCCCTATATAGATAGATAGAAAACTGTTTCCACAATGTGAAAAACAAGATATCTACTGAACATATGTAACCAGGATTCCGACTTTTCTATCTTTCTTAGGGTTGCTTTGCAATCAGACCCTGGCATGGATCTTTTTGCCTCTTGGTGTTTCTAGGTATAAATTATATCATATATTGTATATCTGTATATCATTGTTCTTAATGTCAGTGATGTTACAAAAGAATGTATCCTATGTTGATTATCGTGGCTCATCAACAGATAATATGTTACAATATGTTACAAAGATGTTTTAGAATAAACATATTTAACAACCAATCATACATACAGCAAATCTGTTCAAAAGATATATCCTGGATGGAGGAAATCCTGTTGCGCCAGTGGGTAGATGGTTTCTCCCGTTATAATCAAATGATTTACCGTGCATAGTTAGTATCATCATGGTTTATCATCCTATGAAAAAAAGATGATACTAACATATTTACAAAATATCATGGGATATTTGCATTAGCATGAACTGATATATGGGATATTTGATACTGAACAACTATCATTCCATTATACTGTATCCATTCGTACAACATCAATATACAACATATCAACATTCAGTCATAGATAGATATCATCGCTAATCAGAAATGCTAATCGTTCGTGATGGTATGTTTTCTTCCAGAGACAACATGTTGCATTAATTTGTCACTAAGATTCACGAATCATAAATAATGTGGGTAAAACAATGTCATATACCACCCATTTGGTAGTGGTAAACATACCACCTACAAAAATGGTGATGACTGGGGGATGATTTATGGCATTGTTTTACCCATTACCACATTCATTTATCACTAAGATTCACCAATCATAAATACCATGGGATTATCACCATTAATTTGTCACTATTTTCCAAATAAATGGTAACATTTCAAAATTACTATTTTCCATAGAAAATGGAATTACCCAAGGAAAATTGATTTGTCACTATTTTCCATAAATAAATGGTGACATTTCAAAATTACTATGTTCCATAAATGGAATTACCCAAGGAAAATTGATTTGTCACTATTTTCCATAAATAAATGGTGACATTTCAAAATTACTATGTTCCATAAATGGAATTACCCAAGGAAAATTGATTTGTCACTATTTTCCATAAATAAATGGTGACATTTCAAAATTACTATGTTCCATAAATGGAATTACCCAAGGAAAATTGATTTGTCACTATTTTCCATAAATACCACATTTTTCCATTTTCTGGGGGGGATTTGTTTTCCGGTTTCCAGACCAGTGGCGCCACTCTTTGCTCCAAACCTCCAAGGATTCCACCTCGCTGCTCACCTCTCCGAAGCGATCCGTGCCACCTGGAGTCCGAGTCGCCAACGCTGGAAACCTCATAACCTGAAAATGTTCACCCAACATCTTGATCATCTATATATGTACGTATTATAAGTATATGTACCCATATAATCACCCCATATAATGAAAGTATATGGTACAAACATATATTAACCCCATATAAGTCTATATATATTCTTGAATTATATAATACGTACATATAATATATGGTACATAATACATATACATACACAATATACATGTGCATATACTCCAGGCAACAGCCCAGCTTGGTCTCATGCCGTCCCCTGCGGTCCCCGCCTAAGAGGAAGACCACAGATCCTCTACTCACCGCTGCGGCATCACAGCGGAGCTGCAGCAACGATGGCAGGGTCTCCCAGCGGCCTGTAGAGGTGCCTAGCGGCGGATGCAGGTTGAAGCGATGCGCGGAGGAGCTGCAGCCAGTGCGACCTGGGCCAAGCAGAAAAGGATTCAGATGGATTCAGCACTACATCGCATCACATTTTGGGGTAGATTTATATGATAAAAATTGATAGGATGATATAGGATGGTTTCTTGAGGTTCTCATTTCTGATCTGTGTTTAAGGTGACTGAAATGTTGTTCCCCCAAACAGAGTCTGATTTGACCATCAGTTATGTCGTCAACAATGCTTAAACAATCTTAAACATGTCATCAACTGTGCCAAAATATCAAACCCACATATGCACGCCACTCCAGGCGACTTTCTACAGGACAGGACGACTCAAGCCAGATACCCTTTACATGACTGCTAAATGGACTCTCAGAAGTTTGAGTGAAGCATCGAAGAATAACTAGAGTTTCAGACTTAGTTCGACCTAGTTCTCTGAAATGGACCCTTTTCCCAACTTGTCACCAAGAGACCAATGCCTCCAAGAGCGTAGATGGATGAACCTGGGTCAGAACTTTAGCCAATGTCCACGAAATCGAAAAGAACAAACATTTGAGACAGCAGCATGTAGACTCACCCCTAGTTTCATTGGCTGTTCGAAGCTCATCTGAGCCTCGAGATTGCCTTCTTACCGCCTGGCACTTCGAGTCCGCGAACCGACGGTCTACCAATGACTGTGACATCTGTGATGCCCAAATTCTTTGGCCGTCGACTTTTTGCCCCTATAGAGAAGTGCCACGATCGATTTTCAATACCGGATAGAGCTCTGTCATATGGGGATGAGTGCAAATCTGATTGCGATTATGCTGATCCTGCGAACCATGAGTGTTGGTCCTTTTCTAGACCTATTATGACCTATTGCACCATCCAATTTGCGAAGGCTCCTAATTCTGACATATCCTGAACATTTCCGAACCATGGCCTGTACTCATTATTATTTGGTCGCTTCTGCATCACACAATACCACACAAGTGTTGGTTGAGTTGAGTCCACTATAATTGCGTCCACATTCTCGTAAACGTTCCCCCGAATCCACAGTGTTATGTCGAAGCCCCGATTCACTAAATGATCACTGCAAGGTGTTGCCATGTGTTGCCCATGCTTAGCTAAGTTGATTCATAACTATAGGTTAATGATGTTTATGGATGTTTTGGATGCTTATGGTAGATGTATGGTAGATGTATATATCTATAGTAAATGAGCCTCACCGCCTCCCGTCCCCATGCTTCCCCCGGCCTGCGGCCGTCAGCCCAAAGCGGGTGACCTCGTCCCCGGGCCGGGGAGGCAGTTGACGCCAGCGCCCGGTGGCCGTATGCCAGCAGTGAAAGGACCTGGGCACTTGTGGCCCAAATACTGGGCCATTTTAACCACCAAATACTGGGGCATTTCACCCACCAAAAATGGGATTTAACATGATTTAACCAGATTTGCCATGATTTACCATTGCTAACTATGGTGATGATGAGCGTTTTAACCGTTATAAACCAACAAACAGTAACTGGGGCACCAGCAACATATGTCCAACAAACCAGTGGACCAAGCCACGAATGCCAGCGAGTGCCCGCAGTTGCGGGATCTTCCCCAGACATCAGGATGTAGAGATTACCACCCCTGCAGATTCCCACGAGGAAAGACATGAAACACGAACCCATCATCTCCTCAATGCTTTTCGATGCAGTTCTTATATGTCCAGATTAATTCCTATAGATTTCAAATGATTTCTACATATTTAATCATATTTACATGTCTATAGCTGCACCTTCCTAAGTGCTAAAAAATATGTCTCTACCTAAAAGACAGAAACTTCTGTTTTTCCGGAAGTAAAGTGTTGTCCTTGCACATGAAAAAACATTTAAAAAAAAAAAAAAAAAAAACTTTTCCGGGTGGAAGGCCCTTTCCTGAGTGAAAAGCCCTTTCCTAAGTGTTGCAAGAATAAGTTGGAGAGTATTGAAACAGGTTGCGCTGGCTCACAAACGTGAGGTGAGTTAATCCTCAAAATCAAACACTCGCATCAAGACATCAATTTTTGTTCAATCAAAAATGTTTCTGTGGTCAGTATTATGTTGCCATCTATATGTACTTCTGTCCAACATGGACGGTGACCTCTGGGTGAAACCAGGCGCTACCAACAGGCTGAAACTAACAACTGAAAAAGAAGAGGTGCGAAACTGGGACACGTGAAACTTACGACAAAACCATACAAAACAAACTTACGCAGAAAATCAAAAGTGTCCTTTCTTCAAAAAGGTGCTCCTATTCTGAAAAAGCAGTTTCCGCTGAAAAAACATGTTTTTTAGCACTTAGGAAGATGCAGGTACCTGCCTGATGGATTCTAATGGTCTCTTTACCGTCCAAATCTAGGCGTTCCCGGTAAGTTCTTCACCAAAATGACACCAGGATGACTCATGATCAGCTCGATCAAGGTTTGGGACCATATGGGACCATATGGGATACATTTAGCCATCCATTGAAATGTGTGTTCTGCTTGGTTAATGGATGATTGGTGTGATTAATATTGATATATATTGTTTTGTTCAGCTTCAGATTGATCAGATTTAGCCATGAATAGTCCTGATTGTTATTAATTAATTGATAATGAATATATGATTCTTTGACTTCAAGGGAAAAGAAGAACCTAAAACATGAAGAAAAATTACCTGCCTGGAAGCAACTGCATAGTATGGATCCAATGGCCACAGGGGCACCTGTGGCAAGATGGGAATCGAAGATTGACACTTTCCATCATTGATTTATATCCCATAGGATCCATGTATGGTAAATGGGAAATATATATATATATATATATATATTATGTATACCCCATTGGTATATATATATATACCCCATTGGTATATATATATATATACACCCCATGTTACCATCATTGATTTATACCCCATTGGTATATATATATATATATGTATATATGCTAACATTTGGGGTATATTGATGGTAAATCTTACCATATATAGCATACATGGATCCTATGGGTATTGATGTCCTATGGTTCTAATGGAGATTTATGGAGTCTGGGAGGGTCAAGAAATATCAAGAAATTACATCTTGGGAAAACTCAGCTGAGCAAACCTTGGCCAACCAACCCTCTGAAATGGAAACACTTTGCTCTTCAGGTCTTCAGACACCTGAATTCTATACCTTAAGATAAAGACTACCCTCTGGTAATCGAACATGGCTGAGAAATCCCGAATTTACTTCGATGCTGTTCCCATTTCAATGCCCATTTACATATTTACTTCGTTTTGGTCTGGCGATTTCCTAGCCATATTTGATGAAACAAAGATACACAAAGGAGGCTATCCCCCCATATCGTCCATATCCCAGGCCTTTTGGAAGGTGCACGTGTTAGGGCTGAACAAGGACAGCGTCTCGGGCCGGTCTTTCCACGCACTCAACACGTAGATTTTGGAGGACGACAACAGCCCTGGCAACGTTTGCTGCACGGTCCTTAAGGGCTGATGGATGCCGCACGAGGGACCCAAGAAATGCCGGGCATTTCGATGATTTCCATGCCGAAAAAAATTCAAAAAATCAATGGACCAATTATTGATGTAGTGTCTCAAGGTACAAAATACACCTCTGGCACTCAATTTTTTCAGTACCCTCCGGTGAAACACCAGCAGACCAGCATAGCCAAGCGGCTGTGCCACTGAACGACTGGTCATTCGGAAGCAGCTGCTGCCCACCAAACCCACGGCTGTGGAGACGCCTCTGGCGACCTCCGAGAGTTCGAGCACCGAGAGCGGAACGTCCTGGACGGGCGTTCCGGTTGGACTCAGTTCTTGAGGGATTCATGGATTTACTGGGAAATCTCTAGTTATAATATGTTGTGTATTTTTACAATGGAGGAATACAATGGAATACAATGGATTTTTCTATACTTCTGTGATAACATCACAACATATATCAAAATGATAACATGATCTGTCAGCATGTATGGCATAAAAACGTCAACTTTAAGGGAAGATGATATGTTTGATACCCTCTGGTTATTCAACATAGCTATGGAAAATGGCTCATGTTTAGATGATTCACCTATTAAACATGGTGATTTTCTAGTTCGCTACCTTAAATAACTAGAGGGTCTATTTTGCTGTTCACAGAAAGCTAGGCTAACCGGGACGAGTCTCTGCCAGTCGGGCGCCCACATCTTTGCTCCGATGCAGGCGCACGAGCCTCAAGTCGACCTTAGCGCCCCGGCCTTGAGGGTCGAGTGTCCGCTACCATCTCCCATGATCTTCTGAAGTGTTCCTCCATTGGGCATAAATTGAATGATATACAGTGTATATATATATATATACACATATGTATAATATACTTATAATATATATAATTATACATGTATAATATAATATATATATATATATATATAATATATATATGTATATATGTATAATATATATACAAGGAGGGCCCTCAATGAAGAGGGCTGAAATCAGCGTCCGTTAGCGACCCCAAATTCAGACCTTTTGCACACACAGCACGAGGCCCCACGTATAGGGTCACAGCAGCGGCTCCCCCCCCGCACCCCCGGGATCAATGTTGTTTCCTGGTGTTAATCACTGCAGCAGCCAGCTTCCAAAGCGTCAGGTCTTCACAGCAAGACATTTTCGTCAACCTTGATTCCGGGGGGTGCAGGGGGGGGCCAACATGTGGCCGGAAAGGCCCTTTGAATTAGGAAGAAACACATGTGCCGTCACGGCAGGTGGCACATCACAGCTGCAAGATGAAATGCTTCACTGGCCGTTGGCGATGTCAATCTTTGCATTGGCTCCACTGCAACACTAGCATGCTTCGGTGTGAAACTACTAAGCACGATGTCACAACTTTATATTGGCTCTGCCGCAAAACTACTATGCTTCTGTGTGAAAACTACTAAGGGGAATTTCAAACTTTGTATTGGCTCGGTGGCAAAACTACTAAGGAATTGTTCAATGGACAAAAAAGGAAACACTTTCTTCTATTTCTTTTCAATTGGCAGAATTCCTTAGTAGTTTTGCGTCCAAGCCATTGTGATTTCAATTTCACGGGTTAGTAGTTTTTCATGCGTGCATGAGCTGTGACTCTGCCGTGCCAATGCAAAGTCTGCGAAAATGGTTGGAAGTATCCTTAGTAGTTTTTTGGGGCCACAGCAAAAACAGGTGCCAAAGCACGCAAAAACGTGTTTTTGATGCCTTGGGAGACAGCAGTCGTTAGGTAACCTGCCGCGTGTGACTTCACCACATTCCTGTCTGACTCCTTTAGAGACAGCAGTCTCAAGTGCTTCAGTGAGACATATAGTTTTGAGGAAGCTGCTGCTGACTCCTCGGGAGACAGCAGTCACAAGTGCAGACATATAGTTTTGAAGAAGCTGCTACTGCTGAGCCACGAGAGGTCTTGGGTGCTCAGTTTGCCCGCCGATTTCAGGACTCTGCGTCGTTTTTTCTCCTGGCGCAGAGCTGAAACAAAAAGATTGAAAGTACAAGTGGTGCGATGCAGGTGCAATGCAGCTTCACCAAAAAAAACCTGAGATGGGAAAGATGAAGGTGCAAGTGGCACGATGGAATGTCAATACAGCTTCACCAACACAAACATGGCACACAAGGATGAAATTGAACCAGCCTGGGCCTTGACTTCTCGACTGGTTTGCTGCAGCTGGCGTTTCAAGGCCTGCCTTTCAGCTTTCAAAGCAGCTATACGGTCATCCATCCCGGGCACATGGGCTACAGCAGCACCTTCCGCAGCATCCCTTTCCATACCAGCGGCGGCAGACGACATGGCTATAGATATAGTCAAATTGTGTTTTCTGCGACGAGCTGTGAGCCGTGCTAGCTGCAGAAGCCATGCCGTCTGGACAGCTTCCATGCCAATTTTCTCAAACTGCACAACTGGAAGATAGTGTGACAAAACATGGCCGGTGGGGGCCCAAAACTGGGGGCTTGAAAAGTGATGCCAAAGGGACTCCCGTACCATGTACCCCCATAGTATTATGGAAAAAAAATCTTTGTCCTATAGTGCCACCCACGTCTGCAAATCTGTTGGATCCACCCGGAGCGGCAGCATCAAAGAAAAAGAGCCTTATACGCGTGCGCCATTTGGCGTCGCGCTGGCCAAACGCACTGCATCTGCTGGGGTGTCGGCCTGTCAGGCCCAGGCCAAGGCACCCCTGCACCCATCAAGTGTTGAAGCGCTTTGTGCACTTGACCTGGGCCATTGCAGCCCACTGCATCGAAGCTTTTCTGCCATTGCCGAGCTGCCCAAAATTCGTGAGGGGCTTGCATGCACTGCCATAGCCAGGCCAGAGGAGGCACTAAACCATGCTCTGAATATGAGCGCAACTCCTGGTGCTTCCTTTTCAAATATTGTTTAAAACGGGAGAAGCCTTGCAGATCAAGCGGCTGTAGGTAATCCGTTGTCTGCGCTGGGATATATACAAGCTGCAGCTTGCACTTGCGTGCCATTGCCATGACCTGCCGTGGCAGGTGTGCCGGCGCACAATCAAGGAGTACAAACGCCTTGTTTTGACGGAAAACTTTTCAGCACTTCTGCGATCTCTTTGAGAATTTGGGCACTGTTGGCAGCAGAGGTCCAAGCGGACTTTTGCCGCAAAACACGCAAACGAGTTTGTGGCAAAGCGCGCTGGGCGCGCAAGAGCTTCTTCGTGAGTTTCACCTGGGTGCCAATGAGAAAATGAGGAAACTTCCCTTGGATGTGCTTGCAGTTGCAAATCACGCTGACATAAGTCCACGCACCTCGAACATGTTGCTTCAGCACCTGTGCATGCGGCTGTTTGCCACCTGCTGTCCGTGGCTTTGCCACACATCCAATAGGCGGTGTCATGGTGTGGCCGACGCTAGTCTCATCCAGATTTATAAAAAGTAGCTCCCTGTCTGCGAACCTGCTGTGGCAATAGCAGATGGTCCGCCAAAATGTCATGACCTGCTCGAGCGTTGCAGGAAGTGAAAGACAAAGCCTTATTATATATAGGGTCCCCAAATATAATTCCGAGGGAAGAAATTGATTGAAAATGGGGGCCTATTTTTGGTGCCAGATTCTGGCCCCAAAAATGGGACCGCCCAACCGGGATTAAGTAGGCTTATACAGGCATGAAACATGAGGGGGACCCATTTTTGGGGCCACATTCCGGCCCAAAAATGGAGCCACCCAACCCAAAAAAAGAAGACAAAATGTTGTAAGTTGGCTGGCCCGCGCCTTGTCGCGCAGTACAGCGGGATCTCTGCTAACAACTTGCTTCAGCACCTTCCGGCGGACGCCCCACCGAGCCCGCCAGCGCTGCACCCACTTATTGACCATGCGTTTGTTTGGCACACCCATGTCCAGCTTCTGGCCATGGAAGGCCTCCTCCCACTTCAAAAACGTGTCCATCGCAGAAGGTGCTTGACAATGATTCGTATTGCAGTCATAGACCCACTGCTCCGTGGCTGCTTCGGCCAGGAAGGCTTGCGCTTTGCGTGAAGCTGTGTCATCCAAAGCGGTCAAATCTGGCAGCGGCGTTGTCAGCAACATCTCTTGGATCAACGCTGCCGTGGGTACCCATTGCTGCCATGGGATATCGTTGTCAAAGCACAAGCCATGCGGAGAGTCAAATCCATGTTAAAATTCGACAGCATGTAAACAGCTACCACAGTTTTGCGGGCTGCCACTCCAAGGCCGGCACAGTGCAACCTTTTCCGGCATTCTGCCGATAAGCCGCTTTCAGTGCTTTGCCATTCTGCACCAAGGCTTCCTTCAAGTCTGACACCCTGGCATCAGATGTGCCTTCGGCCACACCACAGGGCGGCTGCATGACTGACCGCAGAAAAACTATCTGTCGGCAGACTCATTGAAAACATTCGTGTCATGTCAAACCAATGCTGTCTGATACAGCTGAATTCGAATGGAAGCAGGGAAGATGACATAATGAGTGCGGCCAAAGCATGGCCTCGGCATTTCAAAGCATACAAATTCATGTCTGGCTCATGCAAAAAACAAAAACTATATTGCTGTTGCATGCAGTCAGCGCGGCAAGACTTGATTCATATGGCTGCGTCCAGGAAAAAACATCGAGGAGAGGCGACCTGTGAGGAGCAGGCAAGACCGAACAATGATGATGAGCCGTCCAATCATGTGGGTTTGTGTTATGACACTGTTATGGAAAAACACTGCTGGTTATCTCTCCACATCATGCAGGTTTGTGTTGTCACAAGGAGGGCCCTCAATGAAGAGGGCTGAAATCAGCGTCCGTTAGCGACCCCAAATTCAGACCTTTTGCACACACAGCACGAGGCCCCACGTATAGGGTCACAGCAGCGGCTCCCCCCCCGCACCCCCAGGATCAATGTTGTTTCCTGGTGTTAATCACTGCAGCAGCCAGCTTCCAAAGCGTCAGGTCTTCACAGCAAGACATTTTCGTCAACCTTGATTCCGGGGGGTGCAGGGGGGGGCCAACATGTGGCCGGAAAGGCCCTTTGAATTAGGAAGAAACACATGTGCCGTCACGGCAGGTGGCACATCACAGCTGCAAGATGAAATGCTTCACTGGCCGTTGGCGATGTCAATCTTTGCATTGGCTCCACTGCAACACTAGCATGCTTCGGTGTGAAACTACTAAGCACGATGTCACAACTTTATATTGGCTCTGCCGCAAAACTACTATGCTTCTGTGTGAAAACTACTAAGGGGAATTTCAAACTTTGTATTGGCTCGGTGGCAAAACTACTAAGGAATTGTTCAATGGACAAAAAAGGAAACACTTTCTTCTATTTCTTTTCAATTGGCAGAATTCCTTAGTAGTTTTGCGTCCAAGCCATTGTGATTTCAATTTCACGGGTTAGTAGTTTTTCATGCGTGCATGAGCTGGGACTCTGCCGTGCCAATGCAAAGTCTGCGAAAATGGTTGGAAGTATCCTTAGTAGTTTTTTGGGGCCACAGCAAAAACAGGTGCCAAAGCACGCAAAAACGTGTTTTTGATGCCTTGGGAGACAGCAGTCGTTAGGTAACCTGCCGCGTGTGACTTCACCACATTCCTGTCTGACTCCTTTAGAGACAGCAGTCTCAAGCTTCAGTGAGACATATAGTTTTGAGGAAGCTGCTGCTGACTCCTCGGGAGACAGCAGTCACAAGTGCTTCAGTGAGACATATAGTTTTGAAGAAGCTGCTACTGCTGACGGGTCATTTTGAAGGCCAGGAGCCACGAGAGGTCTTGGGTGCTCAGTTTGCCCGCCGATTTCAGGACTCTGCGTCGTTTTTTCTCCTGGCGCAGAGCTGAAACAAAAAGATTGAAAGTACAAGTGGTGCGATGCAGGTGCAATGCAGCTTCACCAAAAAAACCTGAGATGGGAAAGATGAAGGTGCAAGTGGCATGATGGAATGTCAATACAGCTTCACCAACACAAACATGGCACACAAGGATGAAATTGAACCAGCCTGGGCCTTGACTTCTCGACTGGGTTGCTGCAGCTGGCGTTTCAAGGCCTGCCTTTCAGCTTTCAAAGCAGCTATACGGTCATCCATCCCGGGCACATGGGCTACAGCAGCACCTTCCGCAGCATCCCTTTCCATACCAGCGGCGGCAGAGGACATGGCTATAGATATAGTCAAGTTGTGTTTTCTGCGACGAGCTGTGAGCCGTGCTAGCTGCAGAAGCCATGCCGTCTGGACAGCTTCCATGCCAATTTTCTCAAACTGCACAACAGGAAGATAGTGTGACAAAACATGGCCGGTGGGGGCCCAAAACTGGGGGCTTGAAAAGTGATGCCAAAGGGACTCCCGTACCATGTACCCCCATAGTATATATATAGACATACGGTATGTTACATACGTATATATACATATGGGGTTTTCCTATAAAATAGGTGGTACCCCAAATCATCCAAAATTAGGCCATTTTAGTATTGAAACCATTGAAACCCAGAGTTTCATGGCGTGTATGTGTGTATGTTGCCCGTTCAATGTGCGTTCGTTGGTGTTGATGATTTTCTGGGACATTGTTTGGGGTGATTTAGGATCATAACTTTCACCCCATTGCTTGGTTTAAATACAGTGCATAATTGTTGAGGTTGTTAGGGTTTTATGTTTGGGGATGGGCCTAAGATTCCTAACATTCCAGTTTCATCATCTCCATTTCTTATCACTTTAGGTTGTTCCTTTCCGATCAGTTAGATTCGATGCTTGAGATTTTCGTCTTGCCTTTTGACCTGATATTTGTTTATGATACTTCTAGACACAGGACATTCAGCTTTCAATTCATTAGTGTCTTTCTTTTCCTCCTTGTTGTTCCTTTTCACAGTGATGATACAATTTGTCTTGTGTTTCTCTCTATATCTTTGCTTTGCTTCTAAACATAATGACATTGCTTACATTCATGTTTGTAATAGTTTACCGGTTGAAAGACTTTACACTTGGAACACTGCCTTTTGTGACTCAGTATACCATATACCTCTATGAATTTAAGGGGTCTTGTTTGAAAATATGCTTAGGGGTGATTACTTTGATTACTCCATAATGTACCTTGTTAGGATATTATGAATCTTCTGGTTTAGTGTCGCCACTGTTCATCATCTTCACCAATTCCATCCCAATGTTCAGAAACACTTGCTTTAATGTTCTTGAAAACTAAAACGATCAAGACCTGTTTTCTCAATCAAATGACTCAACACTGTCAATAGTGTGTAATGGTTTTGTTGTACTGCAGTCTTCCTCCGTGTCTTCCTATTATTTTTTATCGAACATGATTGCATACATTTATTTGATAAGGTCGTGGTTTATCTCTCCATGCTCTGCGTATTGCTCTAGAGTCTAGAGATTGATGTTGCTTGAGTAGTAAGTCATTGGATACAAAGACATAATCAGGAAATGATGCTTATTCATACAGTTCATTAGTCTGTCTATATCTCTTTGTAATTTTTCCTCGCTAACTCCAATCACAGCTTCAGGTATTGCAAATATGGAGGTTTCCTAAAATGGGGGGGCACCCCAAATCATCCTTAAAATTGGAGCATTTTAGCATTGACACCCATGGTTTTGGGGATCCCCCATTTTAGGACCCCCCCCATATAGCCGCCAATCCTCCCAAAATGAGAAAACGGTCCAAACGCTTGACCCGCCTTGCTGGGTGTCTTCCAGCTGACTTCTGGCAAGCGCACATCGTGCAAAGCGGGTTCCTGAAAGATGATGGCAAAGCAAACATTGTTTAAACATGCTTAAACAATTGTAATTATAGTAAACAATGATGGATAAGCATGTATGTAATCCATTATAGTAATCCATTATACATTGGTAATCCATTGTTTAAACATGTATGTACTGTAGTCCATTGTAATTATAATATTGTAATATATTGTAAATTGTAATTAATATTGTACATGTGTACTCCAATCATCTTCAATCCATGTTGGTTCACTGCCCTTAAAGGTTACCAAGTATTCTCAAGTGTCGTTCTTTTAGTCTGGAGACTATACAAGCTTCGGCCAACTCAAGAAACATCAACGCACTGGCAAGCAATCACACCGGCCCCGGCCAGAAGACGTCTAGGCTTTAAGACATTGTACCGGCAAACGACCGCACTAGCAAAAGGGAATCTAAAGCATTATCTTGGGCATGCCTTGCATCATTAGTGCCTTGCAGTTTCTCTACTGTTTTGCATCTGTGTCCCCCTAAAATGGTTCAACCTGTCATATTCAACATTTGATCAAGATTCACACCGTGGCACTTTGGGCCGAGATCTTAAGATTCCTTGCTTCAGGGTTCAAATTGGACTGAACAGCCCAAAATAGGCTCCGTAGTCGAACCCAACAGCCCAACATACATGCAAAGTGTCTAACCTATGCACAGGGTACACCCTTTGGCTCTTTTTTGTTGACAGTTTCGCAACAGACATTAGGCACATTTTTAAAGCTGTTTCCAATGATTCTTCTAGGACTGCAGTGCTTGGAGCCCCGGGAAAGCTTCTGTTCTGAAGCCATGTCTTCTTCACTTGTTCAAACTCCAGGCTGGAGAAAAGTTCAGCTTTCCAAAGGAAGAAGGGTGGGGCGTGACTACCATTCCCAAGTCAGGAGCCCTCTGTGAAGATAAGCCGTTGGTAACTACTTGAAGGTAGTCACTGCAGGACTCTACATGACCGGAGCAGGTACTGTATATCATCCTTTTGAATGGCCTCTAAACCATCTACAGTAAACAATCCAAACCGATCAAAAAACATGTACCTAGAGCCTTCCTCCATAGCTTGTCCCCACAATCAATCCATGTTTCCAAGGAAATGCTCGCTGGAAGCACAGGCAAGCCCAGAAAGAGGCGCAAGGCGCCATGTGACAGTTGCGGGTCCATCAAGAGTAAGGTGTCCAAATACCTGACCCGTTCCACCCGGACCCCGTTCCAGCCGCAACGCTCCACTGGACGGTCCAAATTAAATGATCTGAGCAAAAAGCCCCTGCAAAATGTGACCATCCCACAACAATAGAAATAAAATCCACAACAAACAAACAAACAAACAAACAAACTCTAAATAATCGGCTGAGACGCCTAATGTGTTTTTTGGTGAGCTGTTGATGTTGATGATTGACCCATTGGACAGGAACCATTGGATCCATTGGATACTGTAAAACTCAGCGACCATCAACGGGCCTTTGGAACTCCTTCTGTCGCTCTGCGATGAATGCCTTCGCTGGCTGTGACCCCTCTGAGAAGCTACCGCACAAGATGTGCATCTCTCAATAGCCAAATCTGTCCAGTATCAGCCAGGATTACGGCGCATAATCAACATTGATGATCAACCACAATTATTCAACATTCATCATTGTATCTCCATTTCATCATTAATCATCCAGAATTCACAAAGGAAATCATCATTGATCACCATCCATTGCCATATGGCTTTGACTGAAAATAGGCTACCCCAAAAGGCAATGGTGTATGGAGTTTTTTTCGGTGGTAATTAAATCCTTATGTTTCATGGTTAAATCTCTAATCGTTGGTGAAACCTCAAACATCATCCCATCCAGATCCCATCCTAAAATCAAGTTAACTCCAGTTCAATCCAGTGAAATCCATTTCATTCTGGGTAAATTATAATATTTCACTAACCTGAATTAAGGCCATTTGGGGATGATTTCTATTAACCATGATTCCAGGGCTCGGTCGCAGTGAGGTCGTTATAATTTACCTTTCATCATCGCAAAAATCCATAAAAATCCTCCATCCACCATCCATGGTGCCGCCCTTGCCTCATCCTGCTCCGCGAAGATCCACTTCCCCAGGCCGAAGGCCCTCCGCGTGGGCAGCGCCGGCAGCTCGCCGAGGCTGCGCAGCAGCTGGTGAAGCTGGAGAAGGTCGCGGTATCTGCGATGGCAAAGTTGGGAGGATTCATTCGGATTTATCATGATTTATCCCATCCCTAATCGTGGTTGATTAATGTTGATTATGTTTTTTCTATAGTTGAACACGGATAAGTGGAGAATCATGGATAAAAGTGGACAATCATGGAAAAGGTTAGGCAATAATAGTAGCCATCCATATGTTGATGGCTTATACCACCCATTAAAATGGTAAAATTGAGGATGATTTACTATTGCTCTACTGACATCAGCGGATTTTCGGCTAATCCCATGTATGATGCTTGATAATGGTTGATCATAGTCCCATGATGTCCCATGTATAATCCCTAATGATGTCATTAATAATAGTTGATAATGGATAATAGATCAGCGATAATAGTGGAATATAATGGATAATTGATCATGGTTTATCATTATAATTATGGTTTATATATGTTTATATTAAAGTTATGTATAATAATGGATAACAATCCCATCCCCTGTTCATTTTTTCAACACCCCCATTGTATGATTGTATGGGTCCCTTAAATTTGTGGTTGCATCCCCCACATCCACCATGATTTCTGGTTGGGATGAAGCAGAAAACCAGCAGAATCATGGAACTTCGACTTCAACAAATAATTTGATGGACATAACAAGAACGGATTTAATATTATTCGACCAACCAAATCAACCAAGACGGACATGATTAGCATTAATACACCCTGTTCACAAATAATCCAGACCGCGATGCAAGAGTCAGAATGTGCAAGATTGTGCAAGTCCAAAGAAGGCATCATCCAACTTGGGGAAGCAACGTCTGCAACGGACACATCCTCCATCCCCTCACCTTCGATAGACGTGCCACCTCTCCTCGTTGCACGCCAGCTCGATGCAATATTTCACATGAGTAGATTCCTCCAAGGGCCGTGGATTCCATGGATGGGGGCAACTCACAAAACGTCATGACCATCATGAGCACACCTTCCCAAGCCAACAGAATCGCATCATGTCTATACTTCCAAACTTAGGCACCCCTTCAATCAAAAACAAACAAAACATATTGAATTTCGGTCTCGGAAAATAGTGCATGATGTTACTAGATTTCTGCCCTTACAACATAGACCCATGCATATCATGCATCAGCTAAGATCCAGAACACACCTGTCGAATACTCACAATCTGAGCAGTATAGCTCATCATCGAAGCATCAGCCAGGCATGGCGCAGTCCCCACTGGGTACCCCATAAACCCATGATGTGCATGGTTCAAAGTTTGAAAGATAATGTTTTCCATACAAAGAACAGATGCCAAGAAATGGGGTGTGGCCCACGTTTATAGTTTCAGACACATCAATTTCGCGATTTGCTTTGACTGTGAGGTTTCGACCCAAATGTCCGGTTCACTTCATTGATGCTGAAATGATTCGTTCAAATGATAGGCTTCAGGAGCTTCATGGAAATCGAAGATCCAGTCAGAATAGGTTTGCAATATAGTCTGCAGTTTAGGCCGTTTGCAACTGTCTGATTCTGAGCAACTCATGCCAAGTCGTCATCAAGTCGACACACAAAATGCGATTCAACGCATGGTTTGCAAGGATTTAGGCAAGCCCATAGCCTCAAACCAACAGATTTCGTTTCTTGACAACATGCAATTCAGCTCACAAATCTGAAAGTTATCCCATCGCTTTTTAATACCTTCTGGATTCCTTTGCTAAGTGGCAACACGTGAATGTTACCCCGCTCTCCCACTGGGTTCAATAGCAGGTTTGCCATCTGAGCGCCGGTACTGCTTTCATAGGGGTCCGTCATGCGAATGGGCAACATGTAGTCCTACATCCGTCAACGAATCAGTAGAATCCGTTGGGGATTTCAACCGGTTCAGTCTATCTATCCTATAGATGCTCCATCTATGGAATAGCTACCAACATTGAAATGTACCCCAAACATGGCGCAGAAATATTATATATATATATATATATTTGTGGTTTGTGCATCCTCCGGCTAAAAGTTTTATATATTGATATTCTTGCGATCTACAGATAGGGCGATACGATAATTGGGTTTCTCTGAAATCCAATGATTAATCATCATGTATCATCATGTTCCATAGTAAAATGGCCATCACAGTTCACCTATGTTCACCTGATTTGGGGGATTGAAAAACCCAACTGGGTTTGTCTGAAAATCGCCCACCCCGGGTAGCACCATTGGATTACTATCACTATCTATCCTATATGAAAAAATTACTTTACTTCGTGTGATCCCGACCATGACATTTATACATTTTCTTACTGGCAAATCTTCTGGCATTCTATCTGACATATCTTCTGACATTCTATTTGGCATTCTATCTGGCATATCTTCTGGCATATGATCTGGCATATCTTCTGGCATATCTTCTGGCATTCTATCTGGCAAATCTTCTGCCATTCTATCTGGCATATCTTCTGGCACTCTATCTGACATATCTTCTGGCATTCAATCTGGCATTCTATCTGGCATATCTATCTGGCATATCTATCTGGCATATCTTCTGGCATATTTTCTGGCATTCTATCTGGCAAATCTTCTGGCATTCTATCTGGCATTCTATCTGGCATATCTTCTGGCATATTATCTGGCATTCTATCTGGCATATCTTCTGGCATACATTCTGACATATCTTCTGGCATTCTATCTGGCATTCTATCTGGCATTCTATTTGGCATTCTATCTGGCATATCTTCTGGCATATCTTCTGACATTCTTTCTGACATTCTTTCTAACTTTCTTCTGCTCATTCTTTGTCCCATATCTTCCTACATGAGGTCCGGCAGGGAACACTTGGCATGGATACCCGCGGTTGAGGTCCGGCAGGGAACACTTGGCATGGATACTCGCAGATGAGGTCCGGCAGGGAACACTGGGCGTGGCTGGTCGTGGTTGAGGTCCGGCAGGGAACACTGGGCGTGGCTGGTCGTGGTTGAGGTCCGGCAGGGAACACTAGTCGTGGATGGTCGTGGTTGAGGTCCGGCAGCGAACACTGTGGATCGCGGGTCGCAGTTGGACGAGGACGACGAGGACGACGAGGACGACGAGGACGACGAGGACGACAAGGACGACAAGGAGGACGAGGAGGAGGCAGGAGGCAGGACGAGGCAGGAGGCGGCAGGAGGCGGCAGGAGGAGGAGGCAACTGACATAAAATCTAACAACCCTCACCTGGCAGGTGGGGAAAAACAAACTATTTGTGGGTATGATGTCCTAAATCCATTGGAGACCTATCATTATCCCTATGAAAATTAAACTATTTGAGGGGTAGAATGTGGTAAGCCCCCATAAACCATAAACCATCCCCAAAAAAAAATACTTTACTTCGTGTGATCCCCACCATGACATTTATACATTTTCTTACTGGCATATCTTCTGACATTCTATCTGACATATTTTCTGACATTCTTTCTGACATATCTTCTGACATTCTGTCTGGCATATCTTCTGACATTCTTTCTGACATTCTTTCTGACATTCTTTCTGGCATTCTATCTGGCATATCTTCTGACATTCTATCTGACATCGTTTCTGACATTCTTCCCGTTGAGGTCCGGCAGTGCCCACTGCGATCTGGAAGTCGCGGTTGAGGTCCGGCAGTGCCCACTGGGATCTGGAGCTCGCGGTGGAGGTCCGGCTGTGCCCACTGGGATCTGGACTGCGAGGAGGAGGCGGCGGGTGAGGAGGCGGAGGAGGCAGAGGAGGCGGAGGAGGAGGAGGAGAACAGCTCTGATAAAATCTAACAACCCTCACCTGGCAGGTGGGGAAAAACAATGATGATAGGCTTATGATGTCCTGAGTGTCCAAGGCGTGGAACGCCATAGTATCTCGCATACCTTGGAACGTGTCCCATATGTCCAGGCCAGGGAATCGCTGGATTTTGGGGTACCAAAATGGGATCCCTGGTAGCTGCAGAAGTTGACCCTTCGACTTTTGTGAGGAAAAACATAATATGGTAATTAAGATTAATTGTCAAGAAAATTGGTCAACAAAAACTGGTGATCTATCCGTCTATACCGGTCTATACCCAACTGATTTTCACGGAAGATCAATGAACTGATGATGCACTAAGCCAGATGATGTCCATTGATTCCCCAGGAAATGGCCCAAGAATGGCCACCAAAAACGGCCACCATTCTTTCACCCTGCCGAAAAAAATAACCATCTCTTGGCGCCAGGCATTTCCCCGCCACCGGGATCTTGGTTCGGGGGCAATGCTCCACGCATGCACCGTCCACCTAGCAGAAAACACGGGAAAATGATATGAAGACTATGTTGACAAAAATATATATATACTATACATAAAACTATGTAGCTTGGTCTCTCTCCAATTTGAAGTTGGGATGATTTGGCGAGACAATCTAAGTATTGTCTGCGTTGATCTCTGATCTGCCATCCCAAGTGGTGGTATCTCTGGATCGTCACCGCAGGGCTGGACGGATTGAAAGAAAAATGTCGTGCTATGTCGTGCTGTAGGGATTGAAAAAAGCTTCGGGGTTATACCCCCAAAATCCCCCAAATCCATTGGTTGATTTGGTCATGTTCTCCATGAATTGGCCATGTGTTTTTTGTTCTCCGAGGCGCACTCAAGCGATGTCTGAGCTTCCAGCAAGGACCAAAGGCACTGGACAGGAGGGTCGCACTATCACCATCCCAACCTCTATGAAAACATGTCTCAAAGGCATGAGGCCAGGCCAGCTGGCCAAATCACACATTCTTTTCTTGCCAAGAGGAAAACTCAGATTGACTCTATAGCAACCCCATAGATAGATGGAAAAGTGGGACACCTGGAAAAGTATGTGGTAAAGATCATGCATACCATCCTGGCAACACTTTTTCGATCTTTTTGGGGGTTACTATAACAGACTCTAAGTGGTTTCACTGCAGTTCAAATTGCAAGTTTAGGTTCCCAGCGTCATAGAGACGTCCGACGTGATTCGCACATACCTGGTAGGTCAGTGCATGGATATGTCCCTGTTGCCTATCAAAGTAGACCATTTGGGGGGCATAAATCGGGGGTCCCCAAAATGATCAAAATGGATGGTTTATAATGGAAGGTCCTATCAAAATTATGGATTCTTTAGGGTTGCCCCCATTTTAGGAAACCTCCATTTTGGGATATTTTGGGACTGTCGGGCCCTGAACCTGCAAGCGTCCCATTACCTGCCACCAGACTTGGCGCACTCTGTAAATCCCGGTGGTGATTGATGACATTCCTCGCAGCAGAGGTTGCACAGGCAGCATCTGTTCTCTCTGAGTCCAAAAAAATGTATGGCCCACGATTGTGTTTTCTTCATGAACGATGGATGTTTCTCGAAATCGGGGTATCCTTTTTCACTTTTTTCTGGTTTCCCCGAGTAGAAACATGACCAATGACTTGAATGATAGCTTGGGTCCCCCATTTTAGGAAACCCCAATGTAGTGAAATCAGGTTTGTATGTTGCAGCAACACCAACCCCAGGCCTTCATAGGTGACAACATCTCGAGTCTCTGAGACAGCCTTCGTAAGTATCAGGCGAGATCAGTTCCACTGGGTGGTTTTCGGGAATATTGATCACATTTGTTCACAATCGATCATCTAAAGTGAGAACTCACGATATATCATGATATATCCATGTCAATCCCTGAGTAAAAACGGTACATTAGCACAATCGCCAATGAACCAATCTGTTTGAGCAGCCGCAACCACAGGACATGCCAACTTTGCAATGAAAATTATCCCGGGTTGATCTGACATAGGGATATCTATGGGTCTTCCTGGGAAATGATGTATATACACATGGTGGATGTTCCTATCCATGTCATGTTAGTTTACAGAGGAATATATCACTAATAGGAGAGTTGGGACACTCTGTAATGCTACCAGTCAAGCTTCCAGCCACCTGGTACCAACATTTGCACCACCTTACGCGAGCCCGCCTGACTCACTGGCTCAGAGAAGGGATTCAAGATAGCAGGACCTTGGAAGCTGCAGCATCACACCACTTCACCCAGCAAAATGGTTTAACCTCCCTTATGATGGTCTGTCTTGTCGTGTTCCGAAAATATCCACCATACAAGATCTCTCAAATGGACTTATCATGATTTGTTCCAACAGTAGAGTAACCCCAAATCCAATGGTTTCTCCCCATTTTCTTCCATAAAGTTGCAATATCTTGGAATTTGATCAGTAGCCCGCGTAAATATTCAGAATCCACCCTCTTCATCCTTAGTTTGGCATAGTTTGGCCACTGCTGGACACCATCCCAGGAAAAGCTGGGCAGCGGTGCCTATGAGATCAAAGTGGCACAGTTGCGTATCCGAGTACGGCAAGAAGTGGACCGAGTCCTGCAAAAATGGCCCAAATGGTGCCCCTGGCCCCTGGTGCCCCTGGTGGGCAATGGCTGTGATGATTCCATGGTGTGAATCTTTCGGGAGCTCCAGCAAGATCCATCCACCAGTCCTCCTGCTGCAGGTTAAATCCCAAGACCATCAATGGGAAAACCTCGTCCACTCTCGTGTCGCAGCCACACCTGCTGAATTAGGCGCACAAAACTACTTGGTGGATCTTGGGGATAGTGAGCACCTCGTCAAAATCTAAGATGGTCCAGACTGGATCCTCCCTGGAGTGAATCGATCGAGCTATCTTAGCATCCAAGTGAGAGAGTCTCTTTCAATCTTTCAAATTCTTTCAAATGTAATTATCCCAAATGCGGTCCGCAAGGCTCCACTGCTGCTGGCCCCACCGCATCATTCCTGCAATCATCCTGCAATCTTATCCTCATGCGAAACAGCCCATCTCATCCTATCACATCCAGATCCAGACCTTGTCAGCTCACTGGGATTGCACGGATCCGTCAGGGGCGGGTTGCAATCGACCGCTGTGGCGCAAATCTCAGCTGGGGCACAGCTGGGATGGGGTACCAATCAGTGCCAAGTTGTCATCTCCAAAGCCACAAGCTTCAGAAGCTATTTGTTCGATACTTTCACATGTGCTTCATACATCTTTTTTGATCTAAGAATACACGATATAATACACTTACAGTACAAGAAGTCATATATGTCATATGTCATATATGCATTTGAATGCATTTGAGACATGTCACTGAGGTGCAACATCAGAAAGGGACAAGCTGACAAGGTAGGATGAAGGGCATCTCAGGGAAAGCTCAACTGAGTTCGCCCGGCTGGTGATGGGCTGCGGGTGCCCACTTCGTACTGGTACATGCAGAACAGGTGTCCTGTGCAAACTGACTCTTTAAGAGGAAAGATAAACCAAAGAATTACACGTCGGAAAACGGATCAAAGGGATGGATGCCAACCAATTTCGCAATGTAGTGTTCTGGATATTCGCGCTAGTGAACATGGATGTTCATCCACCAAACGTCCGGAAAATGGTTTTGACCCATCCCCAAATCAGAACACATCCTGGTGCTGAAACTGTTTGAGGGCTGCTCGCAACACCCCCAGGCAAATGATGTTCAAACAAATATCAAAAAATCGCGACGCTCCCGCCAAAAACTGTTCATCTTTTTACCAGAAATAGGCTTTGAGCCCTGATCAAACACAATGGAAAATCATGGAAAATCACTCATTTATAAGAGACAATCATGGAAAATCCATCATTTACTGGTAATAGAAAATCATAGAAAATCTATCATTTATAATCAATAGAAAATCATGGAAAATCCCCTCATTTCTAGATGTTTTTTCCACAAAAAAAAACATGGGAGAAACCCTTCCCCCGGTCCAGTGAAGGGGCCATTGCCAACCATCGGCGACTTCTTGATGGGCTCTTCCCTGAAAAATCATCCAATGTATGGTGGTTTAGATGGAAAAACCCTGGGTTTCTATATGGGGGCATCCGCGAGAAATGGAGGCGTATTACACGGTTGCTGGGAAATGCTGGGAACATCGAATCTATAAAATTCCGGGACTTTCCAGCCAGCCAGGTCGACGGCAAAATTTGTGAACCTGCCAACTAAACTCACCATCACCGGACCTTCCAAATGTCTAAACCAGTGGTACCACTGATGACTTGGGGAAAACCTGAGCCTTATTCAGAAATGGAGGTTTCTGGAGAATCTGGAAATGGACCCAAGTCACCATGGGTTTCAATACTCAAATGGGCCATAGTGACTTGGATTAACCTCCAAGCCGCCCCAGGAGAACAGCAATTCACCGTGCCAAGGAACTGGATATTATTCACCGAGGAGATGCGGATGGTGGTATCCTGGCGAACGCTTCCACCGAACCATGACCGAACCATGCCGTGCATGGGAACTGCTGGACCCTGTTTTATCCATGAAAAATGGATAGAACATGACAGAACATGTCATGATAAAAATGAATAGAAAAATGGATCAAGTTGTCATGGATCCTGCAGAAATTTGATCTTGATCTGTTTTCATCATGCCGAAACACTGCTGTCAGTGGTGTCATGCTGAAACAGGAACTCCGCTTTGCCAAATTATTTGATTCGATCATTTCGATCTATATTAATATACTATAGATCTGATCATATCTGATGGATATACATATAATCTTATATAATATACTATTAACTTACTATATCGCGCTGCTAGCAGCAAAATCGTCGCCAAACTTTGTCGGAAACACATTGGCATTGAGGGCGGAGGGCAAGATGAAGCCCTCAGTGCGGCTGCAACTGTAACAGTCGCTGCAATCATCATTGATCCAGGATTTGAGGCTAGCCAAATACTGAAAAGCGTCAACCAGATTGGCAGCATATGGCAGATTTTTTTACAAAAAAAACGATTTCCACTGGGTAGGAGCGCCTGACTCTCTTCAATGCGAAGATCCAACATGGTAAAGGCCGGAATGACTTCCCGACGTGGCACGGTCAACCTGAGCGTTTTGTATGGCAGTCAACAATGACTCGGACGCTTCGACGGAAGTAATCACGTCATCTCACAATACAACTCAACTGAAAGACTTACTGTAATCATGTCATCAAACATCTTACTGTAGCTAAAAGCACCAATGAATTTTCGTTCAAATCAAACCTGATCTCAGGTCCTGAGCCGGCCACGTGAGCCGCGCTGTGGTCTCGTTCCAATAGGCCATGGAGTGTTGGATTCGTCCGCGGTCCTGCATGGGTTTTGCTATCGGCTGCAGTCAAATGCAAAAAAAATGAATGTGCTGAGCACCATTTGTTTGATTTTGTGAAAGAAAAACATGTCTCAGAAGATGTTACATTGACCTTTTTTGCACGAGACCATTTAGAAGATTATGTGTACATACATCATATCAATTCATATCATACATCATATCATACATCACACACCATATATCATATACCCAAAATCATTCTGTAGATATCATAGATATCATATATCATATCATTCACATATGGGTTTGTCTGAAAATAGGGTATATTCCCAATGAAATAGCCATTTAAAAACGGGATAATGATCAGCAAAACCATTGGGTTTAGGGGTACACTATTTTCAGACACACCCATATGTTTACATGTATGTGTTGTAGCTATATGTCATATGGATACCCAGCAGCCGCCTCGCCCATGATGTGAATGTTCACCTTGGACAAGGAGTTTCTAAAGCCGGGCCTTAGTGCTCGAAAAATGGCATTCTGGGGATCGATTCTTGGCCAAAACGGCTGGAAATCACCATGAAATGACCAACGATTCACATTTGAAGGATACCAATGGAAAAATGGTGGTTAATTTTTTGATGGTGCTGTTTTGGTGATTCATGGGGATGAATGATTTTCATAGTGTTTCATGATGATTTTCCTGGATTTACCCTGGCTCCACTGCTCCAAAAAAATGTGGAAAACCCCTGGGAAAATGATCCCAAAGGGGGCATCATTTCCTACTTCGCGGGGTTGTGTCTAAAATTGAGTGTGTGTATATAATATATGTATATATTATATATATATATATATACACACATATTACACCCCATGTCAATGATATTTTGAATAGGGGAAATGATAATAAACTACTGGATTTGGGGGTATATTCTATCTGAAATTGCTTTGCTTTGAGTGATCCCCACCATGGCATCTCAAGGCATATATTCTGACATATATTTTCACATTTTACCTAACATTCTATCTATATAACATCTTTTCTGACATTCTATCTGCCATTCTTTCTGGCATTCTATCTGACATCTATTCTGACTTTCTATCTGGTATTCTCTCTGGCATTCTCTTCTAGCAATCTCTCTGTTCCGGTCCGGCACGGAACACTGCGATCTAGGGCTTGCAGTTGAGGTCCGGCGGAGGAGGAGAAGGAGGAAGAGGCAGGACAGCTGACATAAAATCCAACAACCCTCACCTGACAAGTGGGGAAAAAAACTGGGACATTTGTACAGCATAATCAACCCCTGACATGAGGATGGGTTAAGTCAAATCATTGAGTAGCCAAAAATGTGGATGGTTTATTGTTATCAGTGCTTTCTGCTCTTGGTTGGCCTTGACATTTGACCCATGCTACCCAAATAGATGGAAAAGGGAGCGTCCTTCTAAAAATGGCAAAGGAAAACATGTCAACTTACTTGGAGGTTCCAACATGTTCCAACTGGATTCCTTCGAGTTCTTTGCAGACTGCAAGACTGTTCTCCCCAACATCAAGAGCCACTCGCCATTTTTTTCGCTGGTTTTCGCCAGCAGGGTCACCATCGCCCATCGCACCATGATATCTGGGAAGTCATCTCAGAGCCATCTCCAAGTCCGACACCTTGATGGGGTGATGCCCAGAGCCAAGGACAGGGATGCCTCGAAAATAGCAGATGGGGAGATTTCGAAAAAAGGGCATCTCCATGGACAATTCGTCCATATTCATGCAAAACAACGAAACAAAATGAGAAATTTCACTCACATACTCAAATCATGCAAAAGACATAAAGAAAACAACTCAAACTTAATTGAAGTCCAAGTTTCCGCTTCAGGTCTCGTCTTCGCGCCCTTGATGTAACATTGGTTAACATTGGTGTCATTTCAGCGTCAGCGCATGGCATCCAACTGCTTCCCAAAGGCGATACAGCCGCGATGGTCGCAGCGCAAGGCCACACGCGCCTCCACTTGGCTGGCGTAGGGGATGCTGCGATGACTCAGGAGGCGCCAGTCGCCTGTAAGGGATGGAAAGTCGACTGGGGGACTTCTGATGGGCATTTTACCACCTGCATTGGTAAGCCCCTCTACCTGGTCAAATCTGGGAAATGGGGTATGGTTTATTGTTGGAACAAAAAACATTCTATGCTCTATACTGATCCTGATGCATTTTCTTGTCTACGTGTTTTCTATTACTACAGGTTACAGTAATGTCTTGTTGTGATTGTTCAAAAAAATATTGCAGCCGGACAAACCCAATTATCCTATTGGCCTATTGGTTGATAATTCCCAATATCTACCCGATATTATTGTTTGAACCCCACTTATCACGTGTTAAAACATCATTTTTATATGCAAGCCCATCTTCTATTCACTGGTGAAAACCTCATAAAATCGATGGGTCAACCTCCACGGCTTTTTTTTGGTACATCCCCAGCGGTTAAAATGTGGGTTGTAGATCCCATTCGTATCCCATGACTATCCATTGACCTCAAGCCTGTTTCACCTTCTCCCAGTCCGCGCTCCCAGATCTGCGTGGCCAAAAGTGTAGGACCCAGCACTGGGAATTCGATGCAGCTGGTGATGGCGGAGTTCTTCGAAAGCAGTACACAATCCTCCGGGTATGGAGGACAAGTCCCTGGCCATAGAGATATCCATAGGAATGTGCATTCCAGTTAGTAAGTGATTTATAATCCATGAATATAGCTACCCATATTTCCCATTATTTCCCCATATAGTGGGGATATTCCATATGATTATATATAGAGCTGGGGGTATAACTCATTTACTAAGTGGGATGCGCTTCCCCAAGTAAGCAGATAGCCATTATGGTGATATAGCCATCATCCAGACCTCCCAGATGATCCGAAATTGCTTAAGAATTCAGCCATTTGGGGATGATTCCCCACAAATTTTCACTGGCATTCCAACGACGTCACAACCTGAGGTCATGAATTAATTTATCCAGAGTTATGGCAGTTATGGTTTGGTTGGTTGGGGAGAACAATCCTACACAAACTTTTTAACAAAAATTATGGTTGGTTGTTTTTTGCAGTGGATTGATTTACAAGGGGAAACCAGTTTGCAAGAAGCCATGGTGAACTACAATTTGCGATAATTTGCATGTTTTTACATCCTTTTACATGCTCTTACCATCAGGTATAGGATTTCCCTTACTGCAAGTTGTGTTCTTCATTGTACATAATATATAGATCAATTGTGAGAGATATAGTTGCGGTTAAAACAATGTGAGGACAAACAACGGAAATCGGGGTTAACTGCAATCAATAATGAATGATGATGACTGTCTATGTGCGTCGGATTGCAACACCGTCGTTTGTGTTTGACCCTAGAGTTTGCATAGTCAGAACAAAAAGTGTGTAGCCTTACTTAGACACAGTTATGGAGCACCTACGAATTGAGACATAATAATAATTTGCATTGATTTGACAATGTCAGTACTGTAAAGTATTGCAAAATCATAAAAGTCTGCCCTCTGGTAATTTAACATAACTATTGAAAATCACCATTTTTACTGGGAAAATCCACTATTAATGGTCATTTTCAATAGCTATGTTAGTTTACCAGAGGGTATGTCCAAGATTCATTGCTGGCAATGAGCAATTGTGGCCGATTCTCCCGTGACAACACAGTGTTCCAGTCACTGAGATTGCTGGCTGCACTCTGCTCGTCCACTTGCAATGCAGCGCTCAGCTCGGCATCATCTCTTGATTCCTGGGTGACAACAACTTTAAGCCCTGGTTATAAATGAGATGTCATGCCGTGCGTTGCTGACTGCTTGCAATTTGTCCGCGTTATAAATGAGATGTCAGTAATGTGGGAAACCAACATTAATACTACCATTCGGGATCATTCGCGGATGATTAGTTTTTTATTGAGTTTACCACAGTACCATACTATGTGTATATACATATATATTTATTTATGTTTAAAAATTATATATATATAGAGGTACATAATATAATAATATATATATATATCACATCATGTCACCATTCTTAATGGGGTAAACAGCACGAATTCTGCAGTTCAGCATCAAAAATCCTCTGCATCTTCGTCACATCTCCGCTGCTCAGGGCGTCATAGAAGCGCCTCAGCAACCCAAAGGGTTCACAGCGAGGCTGCTACAGGGGTTCTCCAAAGGTTGGGAACCCCCAAGAACATATATATGTAATATATTGTAATATTATATATATAACTATTTATATAATTTTATATAACATAGTGCTATAGCATACAATGCATCCCCACATGTTTTATTTACCCTGAGGTAAATTAAAATAGACCCTGGCAGATAGGGGTTGGAAGATGTTGGAAGATTAGTTTCCACCAAAAAAATTGTTATTTTGAGGGTCTATGTGAATTTACCAAAGGGCAACTGTTTTGGGAGAAACATGGAGAAACCAAACATCAGGGGCTTCTCCCGCCAGCTCAGCATTTGAAATTGTGGCCTTCAATTAGTGCACTCCGACAAGAATAGATGATGTCATGATATGTCAAAATGAGGTGGCTGTAACCATGGCTGTAACCATGGCTGTAACCATGATTAATCCATCAAATTGGTTGATTCTTTGGCGCTGGGGAAACTCATCAGTTGCGCCAAGGATCCTCTGTGCTTCCAACGCGCCGCAGCGATCATCCGCCAGGGCGAAACATTGCTCCGTGGAAGACCTGGATGGTTGGAGGGTGGTGAAATGTACCAGTCATACACAGTCAATAGATGTCAATCATATACAGTGCAGATACAGAAGATACCTGGGGTGTTTTCAAGTCTATGTGTTTTTCCTTTCACAAAAAATAATCCCAATTAATATTGTTCGGATTTGTTCGACATCCCCGGTTCTTGAAGACTTGACCAAAACCACCAGTCACCATTGCCATCAGGAAATCACCACTCCAACTGTTTTGGCATTGCTTCCTCACAGATTTCCGAGTTCATCATATTTTCATATTATATATATATATATAAATATATATATATAAATATATATATATATATATAAATATATTTCATCTTTCAACAGCTTTCGTCTCCCAAGTCTTATATTTTTACTACCCAGTACCCCCAAACCCCAGGGCAATACTCATAGTAGAGTTGTTTCCCATTCAAAAAAAACCATCCATGGTCCTTGCAGCCCAAGCACAAAGGCTTGGTGGGTGGCATGGCCGCAAGCAGTTCATCCCAGATGGGACAGCCGAAGTCGCTGCCAAAGACGCGGCCGCGAAAGTTGAGGCCCACCCAGAGGCTCTGCCCGGTCGTTTCCTGCGAAACGAGCATATCTCACTGGGCTTAAAAGAAAATTACAGGAAACTACAGGAAAGCATCACTTGATCATCAAAATCTAGGGACTGTGCTACAAAAAAAAACTGCAACATCTTCTCTTGCGATTCTAGGATGATATCATTGGTTATATCATTGATATCTTTGGAAAGGGATTGAATCTGATGGGTTCTCACTGGGCGAAATTCACGGTGCAGTGATGAAATCGTTGCAAGGTGAAGTTTTTGCATCCCAGGAAGGTCTGGAAGGGTGGGAACAACTTCTCCTCCAACATCCTCCATCTATATCTATGGGCGAGCTTTCAAAAAGTCCAAAAAAATGGAGAGAGTTCACTTAGGATCAACCCTCCCATGCTGAATTTTCTGAATCCTTGCCTTGTCCTCCAGCAGGCCTTGAAAATAGCTCCTTGATGGGCCGAGCACCAGACATCCAAAGACCCACACCAGGCTAGCGCAAGCCATCATTGTCTTCATCCAAGCTCTTCAGATCATAAATTCTCAATGGAGTCAGGAGAAAACTAAACCAGTCATTAAAGCTGTTCCATTTTGTAGCCAGAATCCAGCGAAGAGTAGACTATGAGACGCAGAAATTGGGAAAATCAAGCTGTAAACCCCATGAAAACATTTACTGTAACATCAAAAACCATCATGATGCGTTCATCGTCAAATCCAAGACTGGACTACATAGCCTGACATAGCCCTCCAGTAAGCAACGCCGGCATCAGGTAAATCAGCTGCAAGGGAACAAAACTAAATCCATGGCCATGTTAGTTTGCCAAAATTTACAATGTTTATTTTACAGGTCCAATGGTACCCCACGTTCTGATACAAATATGGGTCACTTGACTCTTGTACATTGCGGTTTGCCCCTCGCGGTCAAGACTTAAAAACCCCACCCGTACATGCTGCTGAAATGGCGGGGAAACCCCATTTAACGAATTTAAGCAACCAAATGTCAACATGATCAACCAAAATTGTTGGTGAGATATCCTTCGTCTGGAAATTAGGTCATTTCCCCCCAGGGAAACTTCAAGGGATTTAGGATGATTTACTCGGATTTTCTCAAACAACCCCGCCGTAGATTCCCTTCGCAATGGATGTCCTATTGTGAGAATATAACATCATCAGTTTAGGGCACACGATTTTCAAACAAACCAATATCAGAAGTGATGCTATGTTACATCCTGACATGGCACCTCCACTATGACCATCCCAATGGTACGTTACATCAGTTTCCATATGTTACTAAACCTGATTTATCCATGAATGAATTTCCATTCAAATGGTTGTTTCCCTTAACTTAAACCCATGAGGTTTCTTAAAATGGGGGATTTTTTACGTCACCATGGGTTTCATTACTAACTCATGGTCATCCATGACTTAGGAAACCTCCAGATCCCCTTCAGATGATGGGAACCACCCTGGGCGAAACATAGAAAAACATGTTAAAAAAACATGGTTTCCCTAGGAAAATCATCCACAAATGGTGAGTTGTTCCACATTTTTTTCATTTTTTGTACGTTTAACCTAAGGGCCCCCTGGCAAAAGAATGATGGCACCCATCGACCACCATCAACCCGTCCTCCAGCGTCGCAGAGATCGCGGTTTCGCCAGCCATTTTCTGCTGGCCCGCAGGACAACTTCGCCCCACGCAGCGTAGGCCGCCTGGATCACAATGCAAAGGATTGGTTTGAAAAATCTACAAGAAACACCTATAATCACCGATATCTTAGTGGTAACATTTATGGTTCCCTGTAGATTTTTGCTGAAACGCATTGATTGAAACGTGGAGGATGATGGATAGATCATGAGGATGATTAGTATTCTCATTTTTTAGTATTAAATGTATATCATTACTACTATTATCGCAAATCACTGCCACCACTTTGACCATGACTCATGATCGTAATGTGGATTAGCATTGTTATGACACTGACTAAAGTCATCATTTTTACAATAACATACAACAACCAGATTTACAGTGTTTTAGATATGTTTACTATATATCATCAATACTATCATAAACAATAGTGCCATCGTTGTTGTGGAAAGTTCAAAAATGTTTGATATTGATTGATGGTTTTTGCGGTTGCATATCATAATGAATATCATTAATTGTATGTTATTACATGTGTTTATACGTTACCAGTAGTACCACACAAGGCAGTGGCGGAAGTTTCAAGTATAGGACACTATAGGAGAGGTGAGTTGTTGAGATGCATGGATGGCAGGGCGAATCCATTGATGGACCGAAAGGTGGTTGGAGTTGTGCTGTTTGGAGTGCTTGCAATGGTTGCAGTGGTCACCTCACCCACAACTGCTGGATGTAGCGTGTTGTAGCGCAGCTGTTAGCTGTAGTTGTAGCGTAGTGGAGTTGTAGCTGTAGGGTAGTGTAATTAGTGTAGTGTAGTTGTAGTTGCAGCTGTAGTTGTGGTGTGGTTTCATGAGTGTAGTGACATGAAATGTAGTGTAGTGTGGTGTGCTGTAGTGTTGTGCGCTGTAGTGTAGCCTAGTGTAGTGTAGTGTAGTGTACAGTAGTGTAGTGTACAGTAGTGTAGAGTAGTGTAGTTGTGTAGTGTAGTGTAGTGCAGTGTAGTGTAGTGTAGTGTAACGTAGTATAATATATATATAATTATATATATATATAATTATATATATATAATCAGTGTAGTGCAGTTGCAGTTGCAGCTGTAGCTGTAGCTGTAGTAGTAATAGTTGTTGTAGTTGTGGTTATAGTTGTACGGTAACTACATTTAAATATGCGGATTTTTAAATATACGAACAGATATTTTAGACTACCTCCGGGAAGGTTTTCCTTGGCCCGCCCAGCCATTTAAACATACGGAATCCAATTCATTTAAACATACTGCAACTACATTTAAATATACGAACTGGTATTTCATACTACCTCCGGGGCCTTGCGGTCTGGCCCGCCCTCCACATATTTAAATGCCGTTACGTAGTGTAATTAGTGTAGTGTAGTGTCGTGTAGTGCTGTGAAACTAGCGTAGTGTAGTGTAATTGGTATAGTGTTGTGTAATTAGTGTACTGTAGCGTGGTATATTTGTTTTGTATGCGTTGTAGTGGTAATGTAGTTGTAGTTGCAGTTGTAGTTGTCTATCTATCTATTTGCCTGTCTATCTATCTATCTATCTATCTATCTATCTGTCTATCTGCAAGTTTGAAAACGAAGCTATTCTGCGACACTTCCTCAACTTTTGAACTTGACAACATCAGAAGCGCAGCAATTTTGCCAGACCTCTTCAATTTTTGAACTTGACAACGTCAAAAAGGAAGGAATTGTGCAAGACTTCAAGATTTCCTCAATTTTTCAAGTTGGCAACATCAAAAACGAAGCAATTCTGCGAGATTTCCTTCAAAAGTGGAAAGTTGAGTGCGAAGCTGACGGCCTCGCATCAATGCGTTTTGCGATTTTTCCACTCCACCTGTCTAAAGTGCTGCGCCTGCCACGAAAAAGTGAGGCCAGGTCATACGAAGTGTTGCACCTGTCACGCAAAATCTTCTTAGCAAACCTGAAGATCTGATGCTCCAAAATGCAACCCTTCTCAGGAAATCAGCGCCCGGACCTCCTAACATCTCTGATAAACATGTCTCTTGTATTGCGCCTGCCACGGAAAATGCATCTTTGCAGATCCTATCGTTTTTGGAAATGCTACAAAACCCTCACGTTTTGCTCACTTTTGACAAGGTGCAAAATCCCTTGCGACTGCCACACAAAACGACAACTGAACGTCCAAAAGTGCTCTGATCCCATCAGTTTTTAACACTTTTGACTTCGAAATGTGCTTCGTGCCACAACGGCATGCACTTGTTCGACATCGCAACTTCCAAAAGTGGTCCGAACCTGGTGTGTTTTGTACATTTTGACTTGGAAATGTGCTTCGCGCCACAACGGCGTGCAACTTTTCATCTCTCATCTATTCTCATCTGACCACATGGCTCCGCACCCGCCGCTTTAGCGAGCCTACTTTTCGACCCTCCGGAGCCACAAATCATTGGAAAAACAAAGTGAATCGCGACTTTTCTACCTTTCGCGCACCTGCATCTTCTTTCCTCTGACTCTTTCTCTTCTCTGATCTTCCTTCTTCTTCTCTTCTCTTCTCTGACTCTTCCCACCTCTGATTTTCATCTGTCAATATTATCGGAAGTTTGACTTCTAAACTTCCTTCGATTATATGTTATTCCTATATGTTGTTGTTGATGATGATGTTGAGAGTGATGATTTTGACGATGACGATCGCTATGGCAATGTCGATGGCGATGCAGGCTTGCAAATCGTGCCATTTGCTGGTTATTGAAGATAGCACCTTTGTGCTCTCATCCACCAACTCAAACTTGTCCTGCCTAAGGAACTGGGAGTGAGTACGATGGCATTCTTACTGTCAGGACATCAAGACACACAATATTTGATCAATATTGGATGATATCGGATGTACGAATGTATGTTGATTTTTTCAAACATATCTTCATCATATCACTGTCCTCCAGGGCGCCTCATCGGAACCCTCCAAAGAAGAGCACACAGGAAGAATCAGCACATCGCTCTGCTCGAAGCGCCTGGAAGGCATCGCGTTGCCACCGTTGCCACTTGTGTTACAAGAGATTGGCCATGCCCTGCCATGACTTTTTTCGACCGCACCTAAAACGTATCTACTGTAATGATATCCAATGATATCCTCTGACTCTCTACATCTCTATATTATGTATCCCAACTGAATAAATTGATGATCAATGCGACCATGCCCAAGCACTAATTTTCACCGCACCTCCGGTAGGGCAGTGCTGATTGCAGGCTCTCCTTGACTTGTTGGAAGGTGCCGTAGAGCGCCACTATACGTTTCTGGGACCGCAGACCCTGCGAACGAAGACAGAGAAGTTTTACCGGGATGATAATGGCAGCAAGGCAGACTTGTAGCTACTTGGCTATTGACAAACTTGGATACTCAAAAACGGAAATGGCTGAATACTATGGGACGTCCCCAAATTAAAGTTTTTGGTGGGTTCATACCACAATCTTGCTGCAAAAAATGCAAGCTTTTGCTGGTGAAATCTGCGATTTTGGGCGCTTAGATTCACATCTTTCGGGTGTTTGAATCTGCATTGAATCTGCATTGTTCATTGAATCCTCGACTTCTCGTCTTAAAATCCCTATTCTGGTACCAATCCCGACTGAAAGATCCAAATCCAATACCAACTGCATCCCCTTCCGGTATATTTTGCTTGGCTAAACTGGCGAAAGATCTAATTTCACTGGTCAAATCACTACTTCAGTTGGTTAAAACCACCATGTCCGGCTGCGTTTCCTGCAGCTCAAAGCTCTTCGTGGTTCCTGCCACAGGATCAGTGACCTCTATGGGGAGGTCGCCAATGGCGTACTCCCGTTCCTGGCTTGGGGAACATTGGGGAAACATCTGCGAAAGTTAGGTCAATGTTGCGTAAAACCTCCTAAATCAACTAGTGAGTCATCAAACTATCCCCATTCAAATTGGCCACTTGGCGGAGGTACCTCATTTTCAGACAGACCCATTTGGGACGGACTATTGGAGTTCTGGGATGCTTTTGTGCCATCGATGTGGTGTCGGCTGCAGAATTCCGAGCCCAAGTGAAGCAAGAAGCTTAAGTCATTTAATTTGAGACGCTAAGTCTTATCCATCGGTGGAGATGATCCTTTGAAGCCAATAATTTGGACTCAACCTATCCAATTCATGGCTGTCAGTTTTTTTCTCAACAAAGAGCTCCTCTGGATTCGCCTTAGAATTACTTCCAGGTTTACATGTTTTTACAAGTACCAAATTGTTCACAGAATTCCTTTCAAGATCAACCAAGCAGAAGACATATATGATATATCTGTCAACAGTTGGCTCACTGTCACCCGACTAAATTGAGCAGGTAGTTTTCGAATTACATGCGACGTGGCGACATGCTGCGTGGTTGAGTCGATTGGCATAATTTGTCTATCATGCGAATATTCCAAAACGTCCTTTGATGATCCAAAATCATGAATCTACATAACCTCTACATAACCCAAGCATCCCAAGTTTTTTAATCCACACTACAAACACTTCATCATCCAAACTAGATTTTAATCATTCCCAACATCCACAACCATTTCCAACCCAAGTCTCCAACCGTACCAGCTGAGCGGTGCGCTTGCCACGTTCCCGCAGGAAGAGGAAGCCGAAGACGGCGGCGAAGACCAGCGCCACGGCGAAGTACCAGGGCGCCGCGTTGCTTGGCGCGAAGCCCGGGGCTGAGAAGCCACAGATGCTGAGGAAGAAGAAGATCAATATTCGCAAAGGCTCCTGGGATGACATCCATTTTTTCACGCATCCACAATCGATACTTATACACTGTGTATATATGATGTATACACGTATAATTGCAATATTCATGTAATACATGTACATGTTGCATATCTATGGATTGATCACACATCATTCATATAGCAGCTAAATGAATCTATACATAGGTAGTAATGTTGATGTACAGTATTGGGCAAATTTCAGGGAAAACCATCTGACAAATATTTTGGACAGGTGTTTCCAAGGAAAGGAAGGATTATTGAACCCATCTCATCTTCCTAACTGATATACATTCTTCCTGAAACCCTGATGAAATTGACTGGCTCCATTCATTCTGGAGCTCCATTTTGTTCCATTTACTAGGGTTCTGGGACCCTGGGACTGTATCGCAATACTGCGCTCTTGGGGACACCCATGATTGGACTCGCACTTCCCATACATTGCCATACCTCATGGTCCTCTGCAAAAAAAGGAACAGTTACATCAGAGCGCCGGAAAACCGGCGGAAATTGTCTGGTCTAGCCATCCAGTCTATGTCCATCTGGGTACTTGGTTGAATCAATGGGGTACACCTTGAGGTGCTCGTTTGGCTTATGTCCCCCTCATGGCCAAATGCAAATGTTCTGGCTGATTTTCAGCCCGTAGATACACGGGGATGGATCACAACTACAAACATTAATCCTATTATACAAGACTCACACTTACCAGCAAGTTTGGTCTTTACCAGGGTTTCAGGGTTGTGACCCACAGCAAAATTCATGTGCATATCCAAAATCTACGTTCACGCAATGCCTTCCCAACCTCATCCCTTGCAAATGACAGCTGATTTCATGCAAGGCTCCGACTGATTTGTGTTGGAGTACTGTATCAAGGCTTCCCTCCTGCAACACCCAGCAACAGCTCCGGTCAGTGAGCAAATCAGAGATATTCACCATCCCTGTCTCCGCATCCAAGTGCTGAGCTTGAGACCAACCTATCCACTTCATATCCAACATACAGTATAGTTATAGAAGAAAAAGATGAAAAACACACACACACACACTTGCTCAGAACTGTCATTGCGAATTCTGTTGTGGAGCGCATCCGACATGCAAAAACAATCCAGTTGCACCTCACAGGAGCAGGAGGGTGTTTGGCGTGGAGTGAAAGGAAAATTCTTTCGTCGCCATCTTGAAAAATGGAATAAAATCAATAGAAGCCAGGAAGAACTCTGAAATATAAGCAGAAAATTGGAGTGGACAAGAGATTCACCGCAGTCTCAGATTGCCCCAACTGTGCAGAAAGATAATGAGAAGTCACCTTCACCCGTTCATGTGCTGAATTCAAAAACCCTGATGTGATTCTCGTTGAAAAACGGCATGGTGATTCTTGGGTTGGTTGGTCATACCCCATCACGATTCAAAAATTGCAGGTACGTTTGCACAGCAACTTGGGTGGGTCTTCGTTGGCCCATGCCATCCAAGTGCCCATGGGCCCCCTGCGAAACTTAGATGTTTTACATCTCTTCAGATGGTTCACACACACGCCCCGCAGCAGCGGGGCTTTTTAAGGCTCCGACAAATGAGATGAAGGTGAAGATGAAAGGGAAATGGACATGCATGAAGACATGCCACGTGTCGCGCTCCTGCGACCAGGATATGCATTGAAGGTGCGAGCGGTGAAGAGCAATGGCAGCACAGAGTGGTTCGCCTGCCGTGTCGATAGGATCCAGGCCGGTCTGCGAGCTCTGCAATGGCATGTAGTCACCTGCACAAAACAATGAACAAGCAAACTCGAAGGAATCGCATGAGTGGCACAAGCAAACTCGAAGGAATCACATGAGTGGCCTGCGTCGCACTCGCCAATGACCATGATGTGATCCGGGGGCGGCCTGTGATATTCCACAGTATATTTGCCGGGGTAGAGCATGATGCAGGAACCATTGGGCCTCGCCAAAAACATAGACATGTAAACACCAACGCAGCAGCTAACAAACCACCTGGGTTCCGCACACTTTCCACATCATGGACGCAAAAGCACACGTCTTGAACCATGCATTGTGACCGCGAGGACCACTGCTGACGTCCTCTGCATCACAAACCTCAAACAGAAACACGGTAACCCATCTAACGCAGTGTACCTTCCGAGTCAAGGACGTTGATATGAGGCGACCCCCAAATCAACAGGGCAATGGACCCAAAAACTTCAATTCCGACTTTGGGCAAGAAAAATGGGAGGCCTTAAGTAAATGGAACCAAAAAAAAAAGACTGGCAACTATGGGCCAAAATGTTTTGAGGCCCGAGTAAAAGGGATGAAAAATAATTCCCAACTTTGGGGAAAAATTCCCAACTATGGGCCAAAAAATGACTCTCTTGCCTCTCTTCTCTCTTCTCTTTTCTTTTTCTCTTTTCTCTTTCCTCTTTCCCTTTTTTGTTTTATTTTTCCTCTCTTTTTCTTCTCTTCTCTTCTCTTTACATTGTGTTTTTGTCTCTTTCCTTTTTATTCTTGCTCCTGTCTCTTTCCTCCTCTGCTTCTTCTCACTTCTCTCTTCCCTCTTTTTCTTTTCCCTTTAAGCATTTACATTTTGCTGCCAAGGGCATCAAACTTTTAGGTTTTTTGTTGAATCAACACTGGAGCTCTATTGAGATAGTATTCCATGGGGCACAAATTTCAACAGAGCCATATTGAAATATTTCAAGAACTTTCAAAATTCAATTGTTTCAATGACAGGCATGTTTAAATAAGTCTTATTGGTGTGAGCCCGCCCTCTCAGGTATACCAAGGATGCTATGCAACTTGCCTTTGTGATGTAGCATGGGCAAGTTGCGCAGCATCCTTGGTATACCTGAGAAGGCAGTGATCCTTGAGCAAATTGTGAAGAAAAGAGAAATTCATGTGGTGGAGGTAAAGGAAGGCTGAGAACACAGGGAACAGCAGAAAGGGTGGCAGAACAAGAATACCACATGTCTAAGTAACAATTGAGTTGTCTAACTCACATTCCAAAAAATGAAAATAAGTAACATTGCAGTCAGCTAAGTAACGTGCAAGGTCTCTACAAAGATTGATTAACTGTATTGATTCTCTGCCTTTTCCAAAAAAACGGAATTTTACTGTGTTTTTTTAATCATTTTTTTGCTGCTGTTCATACAAATAAACTTAAGGTTATTTATCTTAAAGCTACCTAATAGTTATATTTTTACCTCAGAACTGAAAGCTAACTATTAGGTAGAATTTTGTCGCTTAGAGGAGGAATATCTTCCACCACAAGATATCATGATTCTTATCTTAGGCAGTTCTTTCACATTTTCTAGTGGAGCCAGAGCTACATGAACTCACAAATCAGTCAAACAACATGACAACACAATGGATCCCAAGAGAGATTCTTTTCTCCAGCATGCATGAAACAGTGACCAAAATGTCTGCAATCAAGAAAAAATGCAAGTGTTACAACAAAACAAATGTTTCTTTAGCTGACAAAACAAAAAATATTTCAAACAAAAAATGAATGTTATTTAAAATATTTAGCAAAAAAATACATGCTATTTAGGCTTAAAAAAATTAACTTAAGTTAATTTAACCAATGTGACTTAAGTCAAATTTTGGATTTGACTTACCTCAGGCTTGCAATAAGGCAATTTGATTTTTAACTATTAGTCGATTTTTTGTAGATTGCCTAAAAGGCAATTTTTTGCCTTAACTGATCTTAGAGGTTTATATGTTTTGCTTGTCTCGTTTCCCAAAAACGAAAATCATCAGAAAGGATCGCCACTGAGAGATTGGCAGTTTCCAGCATACAACGTCGCACCTCAGAACAGACATGGCTCAGCAAAACAAAAAATACAACGTCGCACCTCAGAATTGACATGGCTCGACAAAACAAAAAGCAGTAACAGAAAATCATCAGAAGAGGAATGAAAGGATCACCACTGAGAGGTTGGCAGCTTCCAGCATACAACATCGCACCTCAGAACGGGCATGGCTCAACAAAACAAAAAGAAGTATCATCAAGTCAATGACATCAACTCATGATCTAAGATAACGATATCTGGCACAGAGATGTGGCTTAGCGAGAAATCATTTTTCTATCCTGTCGATTCGCTCAGTTAGTGGTTTGTGCGCACTGTGGCACTGCACCTTAAAATCTGTCTTCCCATACAATTGGGGAAATCTACGGCGGTAAAAATTGTCTTCCCAGACGGATTTGGGAAATTTGAAGTTTGTCTTCCCAGACAATTTGGGAATGTGTCCATGATTGGAAAACTAAGGGGATTTCAAAGAATTTCTCCCATCAAAGTCTTCACTTCGATCCCTTGTCCTCTGGATAGATATTAAAGCTGCAACACACTTTGCGGCGTTTGGGCGCTTGGATTGTCAGAGTCACAGTCGTCTTGTCCTCGTTGAGATCCGCCACAGCCATGTCGTCGCTCGGCAAACTCGAAGTCTCAGTCTCCGCAGTGGGATCCGTCACAGCTTCCATGGGATCTTCACCTCCAAGGTGGCACGTCTCCAGGGGAAGGCTCAATGGCTGCCAGCCTGACAAGTATTTGATTGGGAAAAAAAGAATTTCTAGACCACCAAAAAAACATCAAAAACCTGCATTTGATTGGAAGGATTTACAATTCCACCCTCCATCCAAAAAGCCATGCCAAGCATCCATTGTCACCCCAGTATCCGAAGGAGCCATCATCTCCAAACACTGTCACGTGGTCATCAGGAACGAGCAATGTCCCATCTGGCATCACTGTCACCACAGTTCCTGATGGGATTTTCTTGCAAACATGTTTCCTATCGTTCCCTCATGTCTAAAAATTTTAAACAAAAGACACATTGGGCCCACCCTGTCTTTTGTCTGCCAATGGGGCGGTTGCCGCTGTGCCACTGTCCAAACCCCAGACTGCTGAATCGCGGTCACAAGTCACGGCCATTGCAACCACTCACTTCGAATCGCTGGTCAGCAGGCTGGCGGGAAAATTGAAAATCTTCTTGAGCAAAACTGATATCAAGTTCAAAAATTGGTTCAGTCAAAATTTGGCCCTTCACTGACATGAATTGAGACCTGAATGAAATTTCTCTGAGGTTTGCACGCTCATGGGAGGACAGGCGCAGCCCAAGGACGGCAGCGAGCAAATCTAAAAATGTCAAGGAGTATGTCATGTTTGCCAAGGTTGTGGTGGCTGCTGCAGTTTGGAAACCCAGATTTTCAGGGCTTGGAAAAAAGATGATGGTATCTCCTTTTTTTTGGTCCCCAAGCCCCAAAAAGGATAGAACTAAAGGTTGGAAACCTGGAAAACCTGGATTTGCTGAATCGATGGTGTTTGATCTTCCCTGTGGAAAATTGATCATCCCAAGGCAAAATCCACCCAAACTTCGGGAATCAACCAAGGCCGATGGACATGTTGAGTCCTGAGGCTTCCCTGCCTGATAAAAATGCTTCCCAGCCTGACAAACGGCTTCCCAGCCTGGATGGCTTCCCAGCCTTACAAGTGGCTTCCCAGCCTTACAAATGGCTTCCCAGCCAGATAAATGGCTTCCCAGCCTGATAAATGGCTTCCCAGCCTGAAAGAAGTGCCTCCCATTAACCCCGACGATGGAAATGAGATGACAGCTACTTAACCGGGACACGAGACGGGGAACGCAAAAGAGGAAAAAGGGAAAACACCAACACCACCACACCTAGCCCAGAGCGGGCAAACCCTGAAAGGGCAAGGGAAAAGAAAAAGCGGACGGACGACGGGCCAAACACCGACCAAAGGAGGGGGGCGGATACAAGGCGAGAGCCAAAACCTACCTCGGCACGCGAAGGACCCAAACCTGACCCAGAGAGGGAGCACGCATGAGATAGGGGACCAATGGGGAATCCAATGGGGAACTAGTTGATGAAAATTGATGCATCCACAAACGCATGCAAAATCTCGTGATAAGGCTCAAGGCCCTCGAAGTTCAACTCACAACCCTCTGGACGGCTTAAGTGGTCAACCCTCGAATTAATGCACAACTGAACCTCACCAACGACCATAAAAAGAAAGAATCACCATACCTGCAAGCATGTCCTGTGCCTGTCGTCACGTGTTGCATGACCAAAATGATATGAGTCTGTCTCTCGAGCATTGCTTAAAAAAGAAAAGGTTGTCGCGGCTTCCAGCTATGCATATCAGTACAAAGGAAAAAGGTGAGTCCCCAAACAGCGGGCAACTGTTCAACACGACGACAACCGACAAGGTGAGAAGCGAAAAATGGCCGGCTGCCTCACTCTACATAGACGAATTATTAGATAATTCAGAGATCAAGTCGGAGGATCAAAGTTCCTACCTAGAAAGGTGTTCCCCGAAGGGTTCATGCCACCTTGACGAATCCAGCATGAGTCACGCACTTGCTCAGAACTGTCATTGCGAATTCTGTTGTGGAGTGCATCTGACGTGCAAAAACAATCCAGTTACACCTCACAGGAGTAGGAGGCTGTTTGGTGTGGAGGGAAAGGAAAATTCTTTCGTCGCCATCTTGAAGAATGGAATAAAATCAATAGAAGCCAGGAAGAACTCCGAAATATAAGCAGAAAATTGGAGTGGACAAGAGATTCACCGCAGTCTCAGATTGCGCCAACTGTGCAGAAAGATAAATGAGAAGTCATCTTCATCCGTTCATGTGCTGAATTCAAAAATCCTGATGTGATTCTCGTTGAAAAACGGCATGGTGATTCTTGGGTTGGTCATGCCCCATCACGATTCAAAAATTGCAGGTACGTTTGCACAGCAACTTGGGTGGGTCTTCGTTGGCCCATGCCATCCAAGTGCCCATGGGCCCCCTGCGAAACTTAGATGTTTTACATCTCTTCAGATGGTTCACACACACACATACAGCCCGAGGAAACGGTCAACCCGCGCTCCTGAAGTCCTGCAATGATAGCAGGTCAAATTCTGAGCGCCTCAAGAACTTCCTGGGCGGTCTATGTCTAGCTGTTCCCTGGTGCTTTTAGGGGTAAACAAATACTGCACAAACAGGTCACCTTTCTGACTTGAGGAAAAAACATGAATTTTCTAAGTTTGAAAAGCCCGGAGTTCTCCCTGCTTTTGGGGTTCCCAGAGTCAAACCCATCCTGCCAGGTGTCTGCTTGTTGAACGCATCTCCCTCGGCTCGGCACAGGCTCCGCGGCCGCCGCAGATCGCCCCAGCGTCCCGGACGACGCCCCACGAAGGACTGGTGGCAGAGCAGTAGCGAGGCGGCCACCAGGGCAGACTTCATGGGACTTCAGCTGGGAAGTGCTGTGCTGGGGGCATTGCTGAAAACTGGGCATTACCCACCTAGGGACAAATGATGACATTAATGGATATAAAATGATATAAAATGAATTCAAATAAAATGATATAAATGGACAAATGGGTAAATTGGCTTAAATGGGTAGAGAAATGCAAAATGGGAGATGGCTGAGAAAGTTTTGGTTGTTTGTGTCACCAAGCAACATCAACGATAATCCTGTATCTAAATGATTTGAATGCAGAATGGATACACTGGAGAATCCACCTTTGCCTCTCTGGAAGAGCAGCTAGCCCTGCATAAGGCTCAGCACTTGAGCCAGGCAGATAGTACACCCCCCCGGAAGGCAGCACCCCCATCAATCCCAACGCCCGTTGGCTTCCAAGAGCCACACAAAAAGATGATGATGTCATTGTCCTGCAGGGCTTCAAGCAATTATTATGCAGGTGCAAATGGGAGAGACATAGATGAAGCAACCTGGCAATTCCAAATCTAGCCGTTTGTAGATTGATGTAGATTGTAGACAATTTATCTATCCATTGCTGGGTTTCTTTCCCGGGTGTGCAGCTGCATCCTGGCTGACCTGAAGTCCTCGAAAGTCAACAATTTTAAAGCACCATCTTATTTATTCTTAATTCCATCTTACACCTTGGCTGTGCTTGGCAACCCCTCCAACCCCCTGATGGATCGGGTCCGAGGTGATGTTGACGGTGGGCTGCAGGATCATCTTCAGCTGGAAGATGCTATCCTTTTGAGGTGGCCTTGGCACCGCTGGGGCGGGTGATCTTACGTGACACGTAGCAAGATAGAGAGCACATTTCGAGCACACAGAAATCATGAAATCGAAAGTCGGAAATTGATCCAACATGATGCAATGATCAATTTATCTCTGCCAAGAGGTGGAACCGTGGAAGACATCCTATCATATTACATTGTAAAAAACTGGTTGCTGGATTATCATGATTATCTTGTGATTGTAATCATCTCAAATGATCAAATCTGTCAAGAGGCGCATAGATGAACTCAGAGACCTGAAACGATCCTTGGGTGCTCGTTGTGCGATTAAGCCATCCCGACCCAGGGAGTAGATCATCATAGATCATCCATGGCGAGTGAAAACCCTACCCTGGATGTACTCTCGAAATTCTCTATATAATAATAATTATAGCTGGTTACTGGTTGGTGGTTTTAAACATATTGAAAAATATTAGTCAATGGGAAGGATTATCCCATGTATTATGGAAAATAAAAAATGTTCCAAACCACCAACCAGGTTAATATTGGTAAATGGATGTTGATCCCCCAAAGCTGGTAATGACCAGCCAACACATGGCCTGGCCGCCCATGGCCTGGCCTTTCATGGCCTTTCCCACATGTCCCACATGTCCCACGACAAGGCTCGATCGACCACACGGGGAGATGTTTTGATGGGCTCCTGGAAAACAAGGTTTTCTGATGAGAAAATGCTGGGTGTGCAGATATTCGGGATCAGCCCTGGAAGGAATGGACATATACATAGTAATCATATTGATATCATATTTACTAAGAATTACTCTAATATTTATTTGACACCAACCAGAGACGGGCGTGGGTGAAAGCCAGTCTGGTAGTTTTTTGTTCCCAAACTCAACAAGTTTCGCAGTTGTTGCGTTCCGATATAGGCTAGTAGGCTCCTGCAACTTTTTTGAGGATGTGAATAACTAGGGTGCCTGGGCAATAGTAAGTCGATACCACAAGGGGTAAACAACCACCATTTCTAGTTGTTTGTTTTTCTTAAGGCCCTGCTCCCGTTGCTTTCTGACCCCTTCCACACCTCGAAAATCACCACATTCCTTGGCGCCACAGCTGCCAGATTCCATGAAGAGTCAACTTTTAACCACATCAGCAAACCACATCAGCAAACCACATCAAGCAACATACATGGGGGTTTCCATAAATGGGGGTACCCCAAAATGGATGGTTTATAAGGGAAAATCCTCATTTAAAGTGGATGATAACTAGGGGTACCCCCATTTATGGAAACCCTCACCGGGTCTCCCGGATCCTCCCGGGTCTCCCGGGCCCAATCGCTTGGATTGTGAGGCTCATGTCGTTGGGCAACAGGGGTGTAGTGGGCAGTCGGAAGCCCCCAGACTCCATGATCCGCAGAACCTGGGAAGACATGGGGAAGATCTGGGGAAAATCATCACCCATTGAATTTAGATGATTGGAATGGTGATTTATGATGATTTGCCGCTTAATTTTGTAAGTTGATGAGGAATGTTAATATAATTTATGAATATTTAATATTTATGATAACTTGATATGATGTAAAACTTTAGATATCTAACTTAGAGGTCTAATTCTATCAAAATGATAATTGTAGAAATGTCAATTTTCATAAATATTCAAAAACAGGGATAACTTACGAGAACTTGAGATATGATATCATGTGTAAGTAAACCGCCATAAAACCCCAATGCCAGGGGCTGGTTTCTGTTGGTCATTGGGGGTTGGAGCTCTGGAACTGAAAATCGACCAGATTGTGTGTTGGTGGACGAGACGTTGTGTAATTTAGATGTTTGCCCGATGATATCAACTTATAAATTGGGGAAACATCAATGGCCATTTCAGGAACCAAAATATGGCCTTATATGTTACAGTACCTCCATTTTAGGATCCTGCAGTTCCCATTGAAAACATGTTTAGCAACGAATTGAGAATAAATATGAATAATTACCCTCTGGTTATGTCAAAATAGCTATTGAAAATGGCCATATAAATAGTGGATTTACCCATTGAAATTGGTGGATCTTTCCATTGCTATTTTGACATAACCAGAGGGTAAAAACCAGGCACGTCATTGGCAACATCCACTTTCACGATTCTTGGACTTCACTGTTCCGTGCTGAAAAAAATGTTGCATTTTGAAAAGTTCGAAATATCAATGAACTGGAAAATGTGGAAATTTTATGAAATTTTATATTTATATGATCTGATTATGATCCTGGAATATCTTGGATATACAAATCCCAGGATAAAAGACTGAGTGAAATACAAGGAGGACGCAGGTGAAACCTGTGGGCTGAGTGTCTTGACAGTGATGAGCTGTCGATAGATCGCTTGCCCCACTGGCACCTGGATGGGTTTGTCTAAAATAGGATGCCCAAAAAATACGATGGTTCATCATCATTTGCCCCATCAAACTTGCCACTTGGGAGTACTATAAATATGAGATAACATAAGTCCACCATTTTCAGACAGACGCAAACCAAACTCGTCCGCCCAAACGAGTTTACCACCAGCAACTGTGAGGTCAAATTGAGTACCACCATGGGATGGTTCGATATAGATCAAATGTTCATATGCTTTGTCAAGAATGGCCAATAACTGGAAGTTCTTCTGGCTATTTTCCTGCTTGATCCACGGCCCAATCAACGTGTCGGATCCACAACCAGATCAAAGGTGTTATCCAGCTGATTCCATTGACCAAAGCGAATGAAGTCGCCTGGGGCACAGCGGTCATCATGGGAGGAGCCTCCCCATCTCACTCCCATCTCTAAAATGTCTGGAATACCCGGACCATCCCGGACCCGAACGCTCCCAAAAACCAACATGTCGTGATCTACATTTTGCCGCTGGGATAGGCTGGGCGCACACAGTGAATTCTGATCTGAGCTGGGTGAAATTCGGGGTCCCCGAACACAATCCTCAAACATGGTATAGTTGCTATGGTCCTCCCAGCGTCCCCGCACAATTTTTGGGATTTTTGGATCCTTATCACTTGGCCATGATAATATATTTTTGTTTATCAACATATATATATATATATGTTATATATATATATATATATATTATATATATATAATATTATATTATATTATATTATATTATATTATATTCCAATGGATATTTATGACATGTTCATGAGGATTCCCCCTTTTTCCTGGGAAAATAGGCCATGCTTCGCCCAACTGAGGGCCCTGGCTGAGATCCTTCTCATTGAGCACCGGCACCTCCTGGGTTCCGATTGGCACCTGTGGCATTTTGGTGGTAGCCCGACCGTCCCGACCGTCCCGACCGTGACCAGGCACTTGTGGGCACATGGCTGCCTGATGCTGCCTGTTTCGTTGATGGAAAGGATATTTCATGATATGGCTATGGATCAATACCTATATATAAGTACCATTTTTAGGGTGATGAACATCCATTTACCAGCTATTTTGGGGTTCACCAGGGGTACAAGGTTTTGACCCATCCCCATATTTCTTCTTGAGTTCCTTCAGTCAAGAATGAATAGATGTCCGGTTTTGCGGGCAAACAAAAAAGTATGAAATGCGATGAAACCAGGTTTTTTGCCGGGCAAATCTAAGCCGAAGCCAAATTTGAGTGCTTTCCCCATTTGAAGTGACTGTTTGGGAAAATAGGATACAGAATTGGTGTAAATTTAATTAAAACACTTTGCCGACTTTGCCTGTAAATCTGCATGAATCATATGTCTGTCTTGGTGAAGTTTTTCTCAGCGGTTGAAAAAGAATGGGCATCCAGTGCTCTGGAGTGAAATTTCTGGTAACTCCAACCATCTCCAATCTGGTAACTCCATATAGTTTAACAATGCATAACAACCATCACCTATCTGGGTTTGTGTGAAAATAGGCTATAGCCTAAATCCTCTGGTTAATTGTAATGTTCCCATCAAATGACCATTTAATACATTTAAGCATATTTAATGGGTATACTGGTAGCCACTCCCATTTCGCGTCTTCGTGCAGTCTAGGCACGCTGGTGAAGGGGCACGTAAATCCGGGCAACCTCGGCAGCAGCAAAGTCGTAGTCAAAAGATTGAGAACGGGCCTTGGCCTTACTGGGGGTACCCCAAATCATCTAAGTCATTAGACCATGTCAGTATTGAAACATATTGAAACCATTTGAAACTCATGGTGACTTTGTTAGGATCCCACATTTGAAGAAGCCCCAAAATATTATCAAATATTGACAAGTTGCAAAAAACATTGCATATTTGGATCTTAAGGATGCTTTTTGGTGAGGCAATGCGAATCGTTATCTGGAAGTGGTACCACATGCAGAATTACTTTTGGAACGAATTCAACTGATGATGAAACACTGTGAGCGTTCTGGTTCCAATCCTTCAAAGATAGAAATTTACCAATATCCACAAAGTTCTGAAGCTGGTACGTCAATCTGACTGTCGTTCCAGCTGGCAAATTGACCTTGGCAATGCGGCGGTTAAATGTCCGAGACAAGGTCAGTTCTTGGGCTTTGATGGGCACCTGGGTAACCCCTACATGTTGACTCCGGATCAATAAACCACTGGCATCATCTAGGCAGTAACGTCTCACTGAGAGGACCCTAATGAGCTCCGCACATTAGGCTGGAACCTGGATCAAACAACCCATGGCTTGCTGGAGAATCGCATGTCAATCCCCATAAATTGGTGGATTGCCCAGATTGCCATGTTTGAGAGGTGATTGGTACGTATGTTTTGAGCCCTTCTGAAGATGTCCTGCAAAACGTCAGGGACTTTCTGGCATCCCACTGCTTAGAATTGTGGTTATGGATATAGTATAGACAAGTAAATTGCCATTACAGTAATTACTTTAGTATGTGTTTACTTACTTTTCTATCGGAGGGTTGCTATGCCATTTCCAGGGTTCTCTACCAGAAAAATCCAGCTGCAACTGTGCCCTGGCGGCCTGAAATTGAACTCCACCACAGTGCTTGGATATGCCACTGCACCTGTTCTGGGGAGACAACAGAGTGCGGTGGGTTGGCAGAGTCTCTTTTTTCCTACAGATTCTATGATTATCAACATAGCAGTTGGATTCAGATTCATATAAAAGAGATAAAATAATGTGAAGTAATATGCAATATGAAGTAATATCTTTTGGTGCAGATTCATGCATCCTTTCGTTTCTTAACAACCCACCATGTGGATCATGTCCATTCGTCTCGGACGTGCTGGGGTCTCTGCCCCGCGCTCCATAGAAGATCTCGGAGACAGCCTTGGGTCGGAAGTTCATGGCTGAACAAGAAGTGGGGGGTTCCATAGTCATGGGATGTCATGGGGTACCCGGATATAGCTGGATGGTTTATTGCATGGAGAATCCAAGTTTTTAACGATCACTGGGGGTGCCGCATGACTTGGGAAACCTCTAAACGTGCAAAATCTATTTGGACAACACACACAGCAAGAATACGGAGGTTCATACCCCAAAAGTGAAGAAAAAGAAAGAGAAAAAAATGCTGAGAGTGGATTGAGCCCCCGTGGTCAAAGATCTTGAAACAAAACCTCAAGAGAAAATGCTCATAGCGCTGGCGCTATCTGAGATTCCAACAAATTGCTTTCCTTGTTGGCTGACTCGGGTGGAGAACAAGAATGGTCTCTCCGGAATGCCAGCCTGCATGGATTTTTTCATGGCAGGTCGCCTGTAAATCACCGATGGAATCAGCGATGATCACCGATGATCAGCGTTCAATTTTTCCAGCCGCCCAGCCTCAGGCACTGCCAATCTGAAGGATGGATCATTGGGATACGCCGAAAAGGGCCTCAAGGCAGCTAAGACATGGCCGTGGCCGAAGGGACCCTGGTGAAAATGCTAAGGGTTGGTGAAAAGTGGAAGGGTCACCTCCCAAAAAAATTGTGAAAATGTACCAGCCCTATAAATATTTCTAATTATAATGTAAAACTGCGGGTTTATAAAAATCCTAGGTTAACATTATGGTTTAGTCCTTCAAGATGGTAATCAAGATTCTCTGAGATGCATCTGAATATGTTCCAATCAAACCTCCAAACCTGGAGTCATCAAGCTGAACATCTGAACTTGCTCTTCCCTTCCATCCCAGGGTTCAGCTGCCCGCCCCTGGGGCCAGTGACAATTTGAAATCCTGGTCTCTTTCGATGAAGAAGCGCACTCGTTCCTTAGAAAATCTGGCAATGATCCCCAAGAAGGCAAAGAGTTGACGAGTCAATTGTAAACCAGCCCCCAACATTTCCATAAACGATTGGTTTAAAAGCCCTCCCCAAATGCTAGGTTTTTGGCTTTGGCTTTACCACAGTAGTATCTGATGTAGTCCCCAATAACCGTTAACCGTTATCTATTTTTCTGCAATTAGTATCTACCTTGTGGCAATCAAGCCTGGCAACAACGTCTTTTGTTCCCCGTTAGGTACTTATTTTATGAAATTGTCCCATATTCAAACCTCCATCTAAGCCAAGATTTAACCCAAGCCATATCTATGATTCTATGGCTATTGGCTTCATGGCTCGGGATTTTCCAAGCCATATGGAATTCCATATTATTATATTATTCCATATTATTCCATATTATTCCATATTATTCCATATTATTCCATATTATTCCATATGGAATTCCATATGGAATTCCATATGGAATTCCATATTATTCCATATAGCAAATATACGGCTGAGCCGGCTGAGCACCTGACCCCGGCATAGATCTGAACTGTGGAGATCATCTGCACTGTGAGCAGCACCGCGTCTTGATCCCAGTAGCCCACCTAGGACCAGCGTTGCTGGCAGAAAAGATACGACTGAATGATCTCCAAATGATATACGTATGTAACAGAATATCTAATTAGAATAGATTATATATATATATATGTGTGTATAATATACTATATGATGCCATAAAATCATTAAAAAAAAAAAACTCTTATAATAAACATACAAGTAACACCAATAAGATGTATTATTACTATTATAATATATACTTATACAGGTAACAAGTAATTGCAGAATATGAGCCATATCTATGTTGTATATACTGATGAAATGATGGATGTCAAAAATCAGAGGATATGTCCTCAGTGGACCACTGTTGGATGCAAGTAATCACGGGAAAGCTTGTTGCACAACATCGTCATCATCAGTTTCTTCGTCTTCGTCTCGTTCTTATCTGCACAATGTTTGTAATTAATGTGGGTAAAACAAGAAATCATTCATGTGGAAATGGTTTATAGTGGTTTATTACCAACTATATATATATATATATATAATTATGTAATATTATGTATATTAATGGTGATTTGGGGATGGTTTATTATGTTATACTGTTATATTATGTTTATTATTGTTTTACTCACATTAATATGTACAAATAGCTCACGATATAATCCACGAGCCTCGCCGACGAAGAGTGGACCATTGGCACCGGAGAGTTTGATCTGCCCAGAGCGTTGCGCGCCCTGCACACCTGGCACTGGAGTGCTTGTGACTTGTGAAGTCTCGGGCGCGTGAAAAATGTGGCTGTTCCAAGATATTCCAAAATTCATAAAAGATGGTTGGAGATGGATGAGAATGATTGTCTAATAAAGCCCATGTTCCTGTCCGAGTGATGCCCTGTGAAACCTGACCTACCAGATTGGTTCGACCAGGATCACGGATAAGGCCGCCAAGCTTGATGTAGATGTTCCTTAGATGCACCGATTGAGCAAAAAAACTTGGGGGCGCTCACTCCACCCAACATCTCCCAACATTGCCTTCCTTGTGACATGGTGAAGACAAATGATCCATCAGATTCAGGTGGAGCCATATCCAGTTCTACTAAGAGATCTTTAAAGAGCTAATGGCTTCAAATATTAAAGCAAAAAGTGTCCCATCTATATATCTGAAAATAAACTTGAATCACATCAAAGTGAACTCTTGCCAATAGGAGGGATCCAACCAATAATATATTCCAGCAGTATATACAGATGTATACATACATAATCTATGATAACTGCATACTACATCTTATGTTTCAATGTTTAAAAACAATATTCAATATATCCTGTCGTCCCCAAGAATACATTAAATCCATGCTGATCCAACAACCATCACCAACACCAAAAGACATCCCGGCGCTTCCCGGCGCTTCCCGGCCGTGTCACGAGTTGGGCAAGACGTCGGTGTTCAGCACCAAGGAGAAGCTGATGCGGGTGAAGGCATTCACCGACCTGCGGCGATTCATCATGAAACATATGGGGTGATTTGACTGGTGCAATCATCAATATATATATATATACAATATATATAATCGGGTCACCCCCACATATTTACATATATATTTTATGTAATTATAGTATATATAATATGTTATCCGGGTCACCCCCATATGTTTACATATATGTATATATATATATACTATCTTCTCGGGTCACCCACACATACACATATATATATATACACTTTAAACCCCACAACGCTTCCACTCAGCCATCACAGCAGCAACAGCCGGCTGCTGCTGCTGCTGGCTGCTGCTACACCTTTGAAGAGATGGAGGAGATGCAGGCCTCAGCAAACGTTCCAATTCGTGATATATATATATATATAAATATATATATATATATCAGGTTTATCATTTAAATGGGATATACAAGATTGGTGGGAAATATAGTCATAATATACTTGAGATATATATACCAGATTTATCATATTTAGATTGGTGGTAAAATATACATCATATATTTGAGATATATACCAGATTTATCATATTTAGATTGGTGGTAAAATATATTCATTCATATATTTGAGATATATACCAGATTTATCATATGTTCGATATATATGTGTAACCGAAATTGGTGGTAAAATATATTCATCATATACTTGAGATATAAACTAGATTTACTATATTTTTGGGATATATACCAGATTGGTGGTAAAATATATTAATCATATATTTGAGATATAAACTAGATTTATCATATGTTTAAGATATACCGAATATTGTTTGTATCCCTGATTGGTGGTTTGTATCCCTGATACCATTTTAAAGGGATGATCAAGGGCCCTTAGATTGATCACTACTGGCAGTAAATTGGAATTTCAATGGATCTCCTTCAAACATGAAGATAATCATGGTTCCTTTGAGCGCTCACTACCGGTAGTGAATTGGGATGTTCTTCAAGAATTGGGATGATCGGGGTTCCTTAGAACATTCACTACCAATAGTGAATGGGGAATTCTTTCAAAAATTGGGATGATCGGTGTTCCTTAGAACGCTCGCTACCTGGTATACCTGATATAGGGAGCGTTCTAACAGGGAGCGACCGTCGCAACCTCTTAGAACACTCACTACCGGTAGCGAGCGTTCTAAGGGCCCCCGATCATCCCAATTGTAGAAAAAATCAATTCAAATCCCAATTCACTACCGGTAGCGGGCGTTCTAAGGGCTCCCCATCATCCCTATTTTTGAAAAATCCATTCAAATCCCAATTCACTACCGGTAGCGAGCGTTCTAAGGGCCCCAATATTGTTGAAAAAATACATTGAAATCTTAATTCACTACCGGTAGAGAGCGTTCTAAGGGCCCCCCATCATCCTAATTCTTGACAGAATTCCTCATTCACTACCGGTAGCGAGCGTTCTAAGGAACCCCAATCGTCCCAATTTTTGAAAGAATTCCCCATTCACTACCGGTAGCGAGCGTTCTAAGGGCTCCCCATCATCCCAATTCTTGACAGAATTTCTCATTCACTACCGGTAGCGAGCGTTCTAAGGGCCATCATCACAATTCTTGACAGAATTCCCCATTCACTACCGGTAGCGAGCGTTCTAAGGAACCCCAACCATCCCAATTTTTGAAGAAACCCATTGAAATCCCAAGTCACTACCGGTAGCGAGCGTTCTAAGGAACCCCAATCGTCCCAATTTTTGAAAGAATTCCCCATTCACTACCGGTAGCGAGCGTTCTAAGGAACCCCAACCGTCCCAATTTTTGAAAGAATTCCCCATTCACTACCGGTAGCGAGCGTTCTAAGGGCCCCCCAATCATCCATATGTATAATTGCTGCTTTTAAGAATAGATAGCGTTCTGACAGGGAGCGACCGTCGCTCCCTCTTAGAACACTCACTACCGGTAGCGAGCGTTCTAAGGGAGGTTTCCTGTCGCTGGAGCACCCTCAATCTTGCGTTCTTCTCACTAAGACCAAAGCGAAAACACAAGATCATCCCTGGTCCGATGTTTGCCAACCCCCCCTTAGAACACTCACTACCGGTAGCGAGCGTTCTAACAGGGAGCGACCGTCGCACCCTGTTAGAACACTATCTATCTTAGGGAGCGTTGAGCGACCATCGCTCCCTCTTAGAACACTCACTACCGGTAGCGAGCGTTCTAAAGGCCCCCGATCATCCCAATTTTAGAAAAAATCAATTCAAACCCCAATTCACTACCGGTAGCGAGCGTTCTAAGGAACCCCGATCATCCCAATTTTTGAAAAAATCCACTCAAATCCCAATTCACTACCGGTAGCGAGCGTTCTAAGGAACCCCGATCATCCCAATTCTTGAAAAAATCCATTCAAATCCCAATTCACTACCGGTAGCGAGCATTCTAAGGGCCCCGCATCATTTCAATTTTTGACAGAATTACCTATTCACTACCGGTAGCGAGCGTTCTAAGGAACCCCAATCGTCCCAATTTTTGAAAGAATTCCCCATTCACTACCGGTAGCGAGCGTTCTAAGGGCTCCCCATCATCCCAATTCTTGACAGAATTTCTCATTCACTACCGGTAGCGAGCGTTCTAAGGGCCATCATCCCAATTCTTGACAGAATTCCCCATTCACTACCGGTAGCGAGCGTTCTAAGGAACCCCAACCATCCCAATTTTTGAAGAAACCCATTGAAATCCCAATTCACTACCGGTAGCGAGCGTTCTAAGGGCCCCAATCATCCCAATTTTTGACAGAATTACCCAATCACTACCGGTAGCGAGCGTTCTAAGGAACCCCAATCGTCTTAATTTTTGAAGAAATTCTTTGAAATCCCAATGCACTACCGGTAGCGAGCGTTCTAATTGCTCCCCATCATCCCAATTCTTGACAGAATTCCCCATTCACTACCGGTAGCGAGCGTTCTAAGGAACCCCAATCGTCCCAATTTTTGAAAGAATTCCCCATTCACTACCGGTAGCGAGCGTTCTAAGGGCCCCCCAATCATCCCAATTTTTGACAGAATTCCCCATTCACTACCGGTAGCGAGCGTTCTAAGGGCCCCCCAATCATCCCAATTTTTGAAAGAATTCCCCATTCACTACCGGTAGCGAGCGTTCTAAGGAACACCGATCATCCCAATTTTTGAAAGAATTCCCCATTCACTATTGGTAGTGAATGTTCTAAGGAACCCCGAGCATCCCAATTCTTGAAGAACATCCCAATTCACTACCGGTAGTGAGCGTTCTAAGGAACCCCAACCATCCCAATTTTTGAAGAAACCCATTGAAATCCCAAGTCACTACCGGTAGCGAGCGTTCTAAGGAACCCCAATCGTCCCAATTTTTGAAAGAATTCCCCATTCACTATTGGTAGTGAATGTTCTAAGGAACCCCGATCATCCCAATTCTTGAAGAACATCCCAATTCACTACCGGTAGTGAGCGCTCAAAGGAACCATGATTATCTTCATGTTTGAAGGAAATCCATTGAAATTCCAATTTACTGCCAGTAGTGATCAATCTAAGGGCCCTTGATCATCCCTTTAAAATGGTATCAGGGATACAAACCACCAATCAGGGATACAAACAATATTCGGTATATCTTAAACATATGATAAATCTAGTTTATATCTCAAATATATGATTAATATATTTTACCACCAATCTGGTATATATCCCAAAAATATAGTAAATCTAGTTTATATCTCAAGTATATGATGAATATATTTTACCACCAATTTCGGTTACACATATATATCGAACATATGATAAATCTGGTATATATCTCAAATATATGAATGAATATATTTTACCACCAATCTAAATATGATAAATCTGGTATATATCTCAAATATATGATGTATATTTTACCACCAATCTAAATATGATAAATCTGGTATATACATCTCAAATATATTATGACTATATTTCCCACCAATCTTGTATATCCCATTTAAATGATAAACCTGATATATATATATATATCACGAATTGGAACGTTTGCTGAGGCCTGCATCTCCTCCATCTCTTCAAAGGTGTAGCAGCAGCCAGCAGCAGCAGCAGCCGGCTGTTGCTGCTGTGATGGCTGAGTGGAAGCGTTGTGGGGTTTAAAGTATATATATATATATATGTGTGTGTGTGTGTATGTGTGGGTGACCCGATAAGATAGTATATATATATATATATACATATGTAAACATATGGGGGTGACCCGGATAACATATTATATATACTATAATTACATAAAATATATATGTAAATATGTGGGGGTGGCCCGATAGCATAGTATATATATATATTATGTATAACCCTATAACAACTATTCACCTATGATAAAAACACCACAGTATATATATGTATGTATGTATACAATCGGGAAATTATGACTGGATGGGTTATGTAACCAACAATGTTGCTTGATGTTGGATAATGGTGATTTAATCATATTTGATCATCATCTAAAGGGTCTTGCACCATTTTTAACAGCCAAGCATCTGGGAACATATGATACATGATGATACATGATGGCTGGGTAATGATTAGGTTGGGGTTTATACTATCCGATACTATCCCTATATGCATGGCTCATCTTGGACAGCAGCTAGCCATTGCTTTGCAGATGTTCCAATACAGTAGATACCCTCCAAAACGATGTGACAAAATGGGAACACCCACGAGAAAACCCAAGGAAACCCATCGAGAAATGGTGAGTTGTCCATATGTTGTTTGGATATGTTTGGATACGATCCAGAAATATGAGGGATAGAACTTGCTGCTAGATTGTCCAGATAAATCAATGCGTCCACCGTCCACGCATGGGGAACGCTGTGGACATGCAATTCGGTCGTTTTGTCTTAGTACATACACAGCCTTTTTCACAAGGGCACAAGGTCCAACACAAATCATGAACATGCACATGATCATGTAATTTCTTTTAAAGATTAACCAAAAAAACATCCTCGTTGTCCCATTTCAAGTCCTCATATTTTCGGTCCTGTCCAGGAACCATTTCTTGGAATCCAGGAATCCAGGCTCATCCTCAGGCTCAAAGACCACACGAGACTCGATGACGTATTTGTCTTCTCCAATCTTCGGAATCTTCTTCACAGGCCTCGATGGCCACAACAGCCCCAAGATCAGACCAAGATCAGCCGAACAAGACCAAGAAGAACAGGGCTGCAAACACAAACAGTATCCTCCAGTTATGAGTTGGTCCAAAACCACAAGTAACTACAGAGTACTAATGAATACTATATATATATAATTATATATATATATCATTATATATATATATTGAGATATAGACATATGCAATCATTCAATCACAACTATGCATAGATGTCCGTGCCCATAGCGAAGAATGTGTGCTCGTGCCGCTGATTCCGTTCTCATCCATCTTAGATCTTTGCCTCGTGAATCTCTTTGAAACCAAAAAAAACTCCCCACTTGGGTCTGTCTGAAAACCGGGTTACTCCAAAAGTTGATGGTTTACTTTACCATCTATGCAATTTCCCCCATGCCGTGCCCATAGCGAAGAATGTGTGCTCGTGCCGCTGATTCCGTTCTCATCCATCTTAGATCTTTGCCTCGTGAATCTCTTTGAAACCAAAAAAAACTCCCCACTTGGGTCTGTCTGAAAACCGGGTTACTCCAAAAGTTGATGGTTTACACCATCCTTTCCCCCTGCAAATTGCCTCTAAAATCTTTCAAATGTCTACTATCATTTTCAACTTTCCAGATGAATGCCCTAGTCAGCGCAGGAGGAAGCCCGCTTGGGCATGCTTCCACCAACAACCTGTGTTAGGGTAATTGCTCAAATCTTGCAGCTCGGGGATCCGACTCCAAGTTGATCAGTGCTCCTTTACCTGCGAGCTAAAAGGCTAATCGTCAGAGCCCGGTTCAAGACTCCGCAAGACAAACAGAACCATTCTAGGGATCACTGAGAAATTGAATGAAATTGACATTGAATGATGAAATGATTGAATCTAAACCATCGCAAAACCTCTTGTGACTCGTCTAAACTGTTTGAGCAACTGGTCCTAGTAGAATCTGCAAGCTCTGTTGCGCATTGTAAATCCGAAGCCCACGTGGTATCTCCAACAGCAAAGGTGCCTTCGATGCGCAGAATGCCATCATTCTCACTGAGCCTGCAGAGTTCTTTATGATGAAACTAGAGGCATTCCTCGTGGATGAATTAATGATTAAGTATGATTAAGTAATTGATGATTCATTGATGATTTATTGATGATTCATTGATGATTTATTACATTGATGATTCATTGATGATTCATTGATGATTCATTGATGATTGATTGATGATTCATTGATATTTCATTGGTGATTTATTGATGATTCATTGATGTTTCATTGGTGATTAAGTAATTGATGATTCATTGATGATTTATTGATGATTGATTGATGATTCATTGATGATTAAGTAATTGATGATTCATTGATGATTCATTGATGATTAAGTAATTGATGATTCATTGATGATTTATTGATGATTCATTGATGATTTATTGATTATTCATTGATGATTCATTGATGATTAAGTAATTGATGATTCATTGATGATTTAATTTACTGATGATTCATTGATGATTCATTGATGATTTATTGATGATTCATTGATGATTTATTACATTGATGATTCATTGATGATTGATTGATGATTCATTGATGATTTATTGATGATTCATTGATGATTTATTGATGATTCATTGATGATTTATTACATTTATGATTCATTGATGATTGATTGATGATTCGTTGATGATTTATTGATGATTCATTGATGATTTATTACATTGATGATTCATTGATGATTGCTTGATGATTCATTGATGATTAGGTAATTGATGATTCATTGGTGTTTCATTGATGATTAAGTAATTGATGATTCATTGATGATTTATTGATGATTCATTGATGATTTATTGATGATTCATTGATGATTTATTGATGATTAAGTAATTGATGATTCATTGATGATTCATTGATGATTAAGTAATTGATGATTCATTGATGATTTATTGATGATTCATTGATGATTTATTGATTATTCATTGATGATTTATTGATGATTAAGTAATTGATGATTCATTGATGATTTATTGATGATTCATTGGTGTTTTATTGATGATTGACATTGATCATAATTCCCCAGAATTCTTCAGCTTTGCAATGCTTTGCAGTAGACCCGATGCGGATCCCCCTTGGCAAAGAGAAGATCTTGATTTTTTCAGTCCAAGGGAAGCGAGGCCCAGACTTGTCCGGCAAACGAAAGTTGACCTCCCGACCAATGCTCACACGGAAGGGGGCAGCCTTGGTCGAAAAACCAAGGCGTTTTCTGCGCCGGAGTCGGCGACGACTTATCTATCGCAGCTCTGCTGAAGCGGCTTCACCAGAGCTGGAGATGTTTGGAATATTGAACTAGCCTCTGGTAAACAATTAATATACATTAATGGGTAATCAATGGGTAAATCACATGGAAAATCACATTCATATTGCATAACTATGGAAAATCACATTAATGGGTAAATCATGGGTAAATCAACTATTTCTATGGCTATTTTCAATAGCTTTTTGTATGTTTACCAGAGGGTAGTCACCATCTGAATGATCCATTCTGAATGCTAAGATCCGGGACATTCCCAATAATCTCATTCTCGGCCGTGGTGAACACCAGCCTGCTTTCCTGTCAGGCAACAAGTTCGGATGGAAACTGGGAAATTCCACCTGAAAAATGGCTCTAAATCATTCTAAATCTAGAAAGTCACATCAAAGGTCCATCAATAGTTGGACCAATTCTCCGACCAAATCGATAGTATTCAATAGTTGAATTCTTCGACCATTGATGACCTAAAAAACATCAGAAACACTCCAACGAAAAACCACTGGCGCCATGGTGTCACCCATTTTTTCGATCGGATTCCCAGGGGCTGGAATAATCCCCAATAAAGAAGGTAACGAGAGAACTGAAAAAACCCGATTCAACCAATGGGTATTTTATGTGGTATAACAATCATCAAAAATAAATGTGCTATAGCAATACTCCACTTCAGAATCACCAATAATGCCCAAGCAAAGCAAATAATGGGGTAAACCCATAGTCATACACCATACCCAATAGAGCATTACCATATTATTATTGGGTTTATGACTGGGATAAAACCACAAAAAACATCATCCCCCAAATGATATCCATTAATTACTGGGGCCAAATGGTTTATTTATTCTTATATCACCCTCTAGTAAACTGACATAACTATGGAAACCATCATTTCCGATAGGTAACTCAACCATAAATAATACTATAAATGACCATGTTCATCCATGTTCAATAGCTATATTAATTGGCCAGACAGTATACCTATTAACCTTTACCAAGATTAATGCTGATAATTTGATATCTCCCCCGACATCATCCCTCCCAACCTGCTGTGTCCAGGAGGCGGCCATGTTCTGCACCCGGAAGGCATCAGGGCCTGCCAGTTTCGACCCGTGGATGTGAAACACGACAATGAAAATGGATCTTTGATGGATCTTTCATGATCTGAGGTGCCAAATGGTTGTGAGCTCTATATCTGGATCAACATGTTGATATAGAATTCTATATAACATCGTTCATGATCATTTTGTAGAAAAAATGGAGGTGTCATCTTTCGGGATTCAATTCTGGGAGTATAAAATGATATGTTTGATGAGTTTCAGAGGTAGGATAGATGTCCCACAGTCAGTATGATTCAAATACAACAAAACCGAGAGTTTTGGATACCATCAACTGGGAATGGTAGCAGCTGTTGAGTGTCTTAGATGAAAAGAGTTGTGGTTGCTTAAAAAAGATTGGTCGTGGAGACAGCTTGAGCACGAAAGACAATATAGTAGTAGAATGTTCATGCTATCATACTACCCTGGCTATCCTCCACCACAAAAGCAGCCCTCAAGGCCTAGTAGAGGGATGCTTGTCGCGGTACACGCGAAGCCATACATGTGGATGATGATCTGGTCCTCAGGCTTCAGCTTCTAAAATGGATGATGGCTGGAAAAAAAATGTGCTTTGGGGAACCACAAAATGTGTTGAATGAGCTTGTTCTTTGTATGGCCAACCCAAGTTTTGCTTCCATGTTGACCAAATCATTACCTCACATGTAAAAAGTCAAAGTTTGAACTTTTATCTATCAACATGGGGTACCAAAAGTTGGGTTGTAAAGTCCATATCACATCGATTAAGTATAGATAAACAAATCAACAACATCTTTCGGAGAAATCAGCACTGCCATCCTGAAAAGCCACAGGCCTCCAACTTGGGGGTGCATCCCACTTAGTAAATTGGGACCCCCAGCTACATCTGGAATATATTGGAATATCCTCACTTATATATGGCTCAAAATGGCTCAAAAATATATGGGGGTTGTCCAAAATACCTTTTCCCGGACAGCCCTCAATCGCTCAGCCAATCGCGTAGCAACCGCGGTACCACAGTGAGCAATCGCGGAAGGGTTTGTTCTTCGTTGATCAGATCATATACATAAAATATAAGTTATGTATTATATAATGAGGATCCATGCGGGAACGCATTCGATTTCAAATTTGGGAACAAAATAAGCTCGCGCGGTCCGGAAACGGTCCGGAAAACTCACAGTAGTACCAGCAGCAGTAGTACTAGTAGTAGTACTAGTAGTACTAGTAGTACTAGTAGTACTAGTAGTACTCGTAGTAGTAGTAGTAGTAGTAGTAGTAGTAGTAGTAGTAGTAGTAGTAGGAGGGGTAAGGGTAGGAGTAGGAGTAGGAGTAGGAATAGGAGAAGGAGTTCTAGTAGCAGGGCAAGGGAAGAAAGGGAGAGGGAGGGAACGAGAGAAAGAGAGAGAGAGAGGGAGGGAGGGGGAAACAGATGGTTGCGTTTGACCGGTTTCTGACGGGTTTCTGACTGGTTTCTGACTCGTTTCTGACTCGTTTCTGACCCTTCAGCGGAACTCGTGTCAATTGGATTTAAAAGCAAGAGCAGAAATTCCTAGGTGTACTAGTGGTAGTGGTGGTGCAGTAGCAGCGGGTGTGGTGGTAGTACTAAGAGTAGTAGCAAATCTAGTAGTGGGAGTAAGGATCCAT